GACGAACATGTGGCGCCCGTCGCTGACGGCTACGTGGCCGCTGCGTTCAGCGGGGCAGGCGAGCTCCGCGGACTCGTAGCCCTCATAGGCCGGCCCCGGGAGCTCGTCCTCCCGCAGGTCCTCGTAGCCATCGGCCATCTTGAGGCTGCACTTCGGCTCACCGACAATCCCCGCACCCGCGACGGAGGAAAACACAAAGGAAAAGGAAGGAGACGCACGGTGGCGCGAGGCGAGGCGGCGGTGGCGAAAGGCACAGCGTTAGGGCCGCTCCCCGCCGCCCGCGCTCGCGTCCTCGCGGCCCACCTCACCGAGGACGGCCTCTCGCCGGCTGGCGGGGGTCGCGGGCGGGGGGCGGCGAGGACGCAGAGCCGGGAGCAGGGCGGGCAGGGGTCCGCCTCGGGCCGGTACCTGCTTCCAGCCCCTCCGCCCCACCTCCAGCTCGCTTCTCGCCGCAGACGGCCTTTGTTTACGCCGCGGCAGGAACCGCCCGTTCCGCTGACGCCGCTCGCCCAGCTCCGGAAGCGCAGCCGACGCTTAGCTTCACCAGCGCCGGGTCATCCCAACCCTTTCTCCCGGACGGCCCGGTTCTGGGGCGCCCCGCCCTCTTCTTCGCCCGCCGAAGTCTAGGCGCAGAAGCTGGAGGCACTTCCACGCACACTCCGCGCCTCCCTTCACTACAAGGATAGGCTGAATTAGCCAGATTCTTGCAAAAGATGTTTCTTCCAAGAAGGCGTTGTTTGACTGAGGGATGTTCTCAAAGGGTTCACAGCCGGGAAAGGGGTAGCAAATTGCTTAACTAGTAAGTTTCTGGTCTCAGGGTCTCCAGAGTCAGAGCCCTGTCTTCCCGAGGACAAGGGGTGGGAGTGGCTCCTCTCCTCTCCCAGGTGGTCCCAGCCCTATTGCTGGGCGGCTTCCCGGCGGAGGTGCCGCTCGGTGCGCGTGGCATCTCTGGGATTGCGTGCCACGCCGACTGTGCCTGCAGAGCGGTTCACGACATCTTCTCTCTGTAAGGTCTTTTGGTTCAGCTGAAATCTTAATTTACTGCTGCATCCTCCACCCAGTTTGGAAAACTGTGCTCAAAAAGTGCCTCAGAAACCTTCACCACCCAAGCCTTCAGGGAGGAAAATGAATCCTGTTCACACAGATACTGTTTTCGCTTACATTTAATATACTTTTCAATTAGGTCAAGAGAAAATTAAGAATCATTGTAATCTAAATTTGATTTCTCACCTGTAAAACGGGGTTAGACTAGACTGCATCTTAAATCCCTAATCTAATGGTGCCTCTATACTTGGATGTATTTGGTGAGAGGAGTGTGCTTTATTATCCTCTCCCTTCCCCATCTTCACGCTGGGACCATTATGTAGGAGGAATACTTCAAACAACAACATCAAAAGGCTTTTCTCACGAAAATTTTCGGAGTATGTAATTTCTTCCCTAGCCACTGCCCCTGTGTTTACAACTTATCAAAATTTGCGGGGTGGGTAAAAACAGTACTGAGAAATTTATAGCAGTGAGTGCATATATTAGAGAAGAAGAAAGATCTAAAATCAATCACCTAAGTTTACATCTTAGGAAACTAGAAAAAGAGGAACGAATTAAATCCAAAATAAGAGGAAGAAAAATAATGAAATGATGAAAAGAAAGAAACCAATGAAACTGAAAACAGGAAATCAATAGAGAAAAGCAATAAAACCAAAAGCTGGTCCTTTGAATAGATAATGAAATCAATAAACCTCTAGCCAGGCTAATTAAGAAAAAAAGAAAACACAAATTACTAATATCAGAAATGAAACAGGGGACATCATTATAGATCCCATGGACATTAAAAAGATAATAAAGAAATACTATGAAGAACTCTATGCCTATATATTTGATAAACTAGATGAAATGGTCCGATTCCTTGAAAGACACAATCTGCCAAAACTCATATAAGAAGAAATAGATAATCTGAACAGGCCTATATCTATTAAAGAAATTGAATCAATAATAGCCTTCCAAAACAGAAAGCAACAGGCCCAGATGGGTCCATGGATAAATTCTAACAAACATTTAAGGAAGAAATTATCTACAATCTCTTTGAGAAGACAGAAGCAGAGAGAATACTTCCTAACCCATTCTGAAACCAGCATTACCCTAATACCAAAACCAGACAAAGACATCACAAGAAAACAACAGACCAATATCTCTCATGAACATATATGCCAAAACCCTCAACAAAATATTAGCAAATCAAATCCAAAAAATTAAAAAAGAATTATATACTACAACCAAGTGGGACTTATCCCAGGTATACAAGGCTGATTCAACATGCAAAAATCAACCAGTGTGGGACTTCCCTTGTGGCACAGTGGTTGGGAATCTGTCTGCCAACGCAGGGGAGACGGGTTGGAGCCCTGGTCCAGGAAGATCCCACATGTCACAGAGCAGCTAAGCCTGTGCGCCACAACTGCTGAGCCTGCGCTCTACAGCCCGCGAGCCACAACTACTGAGCCCACGTGCCCCAACTACTGAAGCTCGCATGCCTAGAGCCTGTGCTCCACAACAAGAGAAGCCACCGCAATGAGAAGCCTGTGCACCATGGCAAGGAGTGGCTCCCGCTCACTGCAACTACAGAAAAGCCTGCACACAGCAGCAAAGACCCAATGCAGCCAAAAATCAATTAATTGATTTTTAAAAATCAACCAATGTAATCCACTGTATCAACAAGCTAAAGAAGAAAAATCACATGATTACATAAATAGATGAAGAAAAAGCATTTAACAATATCCAACACCTATTCATGATAACAAAAAAAAAAAAGCTCTCAGCAAACTAGGAATAGAGAGGAACTTCCTTAACTTGATAAGGAACATCTACAAAAAAACCTACAGTTAATATTATCCTTGGGCTTCCCTGGTGGTGCAGTGGTTAAGAATCTGCCTGCCAATGCAGGGGACACAGGTTCAAGCCCTGGTCCGGGAAGATCCCACATGCCGTGGGGCAACTAAGCCCGTGCGCCACAACTACTGAGCCTGCACTCTAGAGCCTGCGAGCCACAACTACTGAGCCCACATGCCACAACTACTGAAGCCTGCACTCTGCAACAAGAGAAGCCAACACAATGAGAAGCCCACGCACCGTAACTAAGAGTAGCCCCCACTCGCCACAACTAGAGAAAGCCCGCATGCAGCAATGAAGACACAACACAGCCAAAAATAAATTAATTAAATAAATAAATTTAAAAATATATATTACCCTTAATGATGAGAAACTAGAGGCTTTCTTACTAAGATCAGGAACAAGGAAAGGATCCCCTCTCACCACAACTTTTCAACATCCTACTGGATGACCTAGCTAATGCAGTAAGACAAGAAGAGGAAACAAAAGGTTGGGAAGGAAGAAATAAAACCGCTTTTGTTCATGACAAATCATAGACACACAATTGTCTATATAGAAAATTGTAAAAAAATTACTGTGGTACATTGAGACAATAGAATATTATTGAGTGCTGAAAAGAAATAAGCCATCTTTTCAAGCCATGAAAAGACATGGAGGAAACTTAAATGCATATTACTAATGAAATAAGCCAATCTGAAAAGGGTACATTCTGTGCAATTCTAACTGTATAACATTATGGAAAAGACAAAACTATGAAGACAATAAAATATCCGTGGTTGCCAGGTTTAGGGGGGAGGAAGGAATGAATGGGCAGAGCACGTAGGATTTTTAGGCAGTGCAACTAGTCTGTATGATACCATAAAGCAGGGGTCCCCAACCCCCGGGGCCACAGACCGGTACCAGTCCACACAGCAGGAGGTGAGTGGCTGGTGAGCGAGCGAAGCTTTATCTGCTGCCCCCCATCACTCCCCATTGCTCACATTACTGCCTGAACCATCCCCCACCACCCCCCATCTGTGGAAAAATTGTCTTCCATGAAAGCAACTGGTCCCTGGTGCCAAAAAGGTTGGGGACTGCTGCTATAAAGGTAGATACATGTTACTACACATTTGTTTAAACCCATAAAATGTACACCACCAAGACTGAACTCTAATGTAAACTGTGGACCTCAGACGTGTCTTAGCTCAGGCAGCTATAACAAAATACCATAGACTGGATGGCTTAAACAACAGACATTTATTTCTCACAGTTCTAGAGGCTGGGAAGTCCAAGATCAAGGTGCTGACAGACTTGGTTCTTAATGAGGGCCCTCTTCCTGCCTTGCAGACGGCTGCCTTCTCATTGCATCTTCATGTGATAGGGACAGAGAAGGAGAGCTCTGGTCTCTTCTTCTTCTTATAAGTACACTAATCCCATCATGGGGTCCCCACCCTCATGAACTCACCTAAACCTAATTACCTCCCAAAGACACCACCTCCAAAAACCATCACATTGGGGATTAGGGTTTCAACATATGGATTTTGTGGGGATACAAACATTCAGTCCATTACTTGGGTGATTTAAAAAATGTTCTTGCTGCACCCACATGCTGGACCGTTTGATAACTTCATCAAATTGGAAATTCCAATAGAATCACATTAATACGATGAAAAAACAGGCACCAAAAGAAAGTGGGAATGGGGTACTATTTGTTTCTTAAAACTGTTTCTTTTCCTGTGAAGTGTTCTGAAATCAAAATTTTAATATTTCAGACACTATGTACTACCCTGAAAATTATTCTATCTTAGTGAGTTTATTTTATTTCTCTCTCACACATACATACATATAAATAATGTATTGGTGAAACCATCACTTTGTTCCTGGGCTGACAGTACGAAGTTCTAAAGAATATTTTTAAGCTTCTATCAAAAGGCTAATAATTTTTTTTAATGCGCTTATGCAAAGATACGATCTGTAAAAAATGTACACTAACTCTGATATGCCATTTGCTATATCATTCTAAAAATGGTAATACCTCAAAAGAATCCTTCCTGACAACTGGAAGAATATCCTGATACACATAATAAAGATGGCCAGAAATTCTTTTTCCTTGAGAATCAGACTGGAAACCTATTTTGTGAACCACCTGAAAAAAAAAAAAAAAAAGTCAACCCTCTAGAGTCATCTTTCAAACAGAGAACCCGTAAGGGAGAGTTAAGAGAGAAAGTTATGAGCCTGATGTTGCCTTGGGTTCCTATACACCGCACAGGTCAACAACACATAAGCTGATAATAAACCATAAGTGCTAAGAAGTGAGGAATGAATACTGCTTGACTAGGGATCTTCAAAACTGGCTTTGCCAGCTCGCAGAATTTCCACATCTCCTAATAGCAGGGAAGCCCTGCTATAAGCCAAGTTTTGGAAATTGAAGATCAGATTAGAATTCCCTGCCACTCCTACCATGGGGCTACCTCAGGACACATAACTTTTTGAAGCAGTACAATATATTAAGTCAAATAAGAAGAGTACCAGTTTTGTGTGCCATAAATAATAAATAGATTTTCATTCTCTTGAAGCCTAAACGAAGAGTGTATGTTTTGAGGGGGTTAATCTAACTTTTAGTGTTTAGGTAAACCATTTAAAAACAGAAGTGCTTCTCTAAGAGGCTAGAGAAGGCATTCACACAACCCAGAAGCCATTTTAAAAAGTGTTCATCCCACTCAGTGTCATCTATCACTGTCTAATATGTTTTGATACTTTTTCCTTATAGAATGCCAAATACTGAAGTTCATAGTAATAAAATATTACTTCTAAGACCCATATTACCTATGAGATTCACTTTCTAAATCTGTTATTCAGCCTGAAAATAGTAAGAAAAAATGAAAACTTACACTGAAATATTGTTTGCACAATCAATTCTAATGACTGGTTCACACTAACAAAACTAGGAAAATAGTAATTCTATATAGTTTGTATAATAAATAAAATGTAAACACAAAATATTTCAATACATAAATAGAAGCTTTACATGTCTAAAAGACAGTACATATATATAAAATATATCTCTACAATGTAGTGAGATCTATAAACTACTGTAATTTTCATTATAAATTATACATGCACTTCAATACAGAAATATATTTACTCCAACATTTTAAATTTCAGAGTCAACGTGCATGGTGGTATGGTAGACAGTAATTTTATATACCAAATTCTTAGTAATTCCTTGTTATTAGTAATTCAATGGATGGGTACAACTGTGATATGTGAACAACTTCTTAACCATGGCAAAAGTACTATTTAAAGAACATAAAGATAAATATTCATGTTCCATTTCTTTATAGGCAGTTAATACTGAAAAGAAATGGGAAGATAACATATTTTGAATATCCTGGGTCTTGAGCACCAACTCTGTAGAATGGTGTGGGCCAAAACGAGGGGTTTCTAGAAAGGCGAATTACTAGGTTATCATCCCATTTCATAATTCACTGAAAGTTACTTTAGAAGTATTCCCCCAAGGCAAAATGTATCTTCAGGTGTCTCTAAAGTTAATAACTATACTGCCTCTCAATATTTCAAAGCTTGTATGACAAATAAATCTCCACTTTAGACACTTTCAAACATGGTTTTATATACATATAAAATGGGACAAACTAACAACTCAGAGGTAACAGAAAAACAATTGAAGACATTTATTCTCCTACTCAACGGTGAGGAAGAATACTTTACTAGATAAGTGCTAAAAGGGTAGGAGTTCAATATTTAATCCCATAGCAGTGCTTGCCTATTTTATCATTTTGGCCAGCTGTACTAGTTATTTAAGGAGAAGTTCTTTAAATAACCGAGTCATTTAATGGGAAGCTTTATGTAATTTTAAAGTGACTTGAGAAAAATCTATTCTTTCTGAAAGTTGATATGAGGTGTTTTTATATATCTATCTATCTTTAGGTTGGGGAATCTCTAAAGTCCTTGGGGTAATTTCTTATTCTCCTCAAATTTGTATAATCTTTCCAGTAAAGAAGACACAGTGAGTTAAAGTCTCTTACAATTATACTTACTTTCAGAAAGTAGATTTTTTTTCTGCAGCTTATAAGGAAATTAATTTACGTTAATTTACAAATATAAATACAAATTAATCTGCCATTAACATCTTCTTCCTATATATCTCATGCCATACAATCAGTTTAACATAGAATTTTTGTTTCAAATTTTATCTTCTAAATCAAGCCTCCAATCTGGGGGGTAAATATACAGTCTGATTAAAATGTTTAAACATATTAAATACATAGAGTATACAACAACTTAATTGCTACTGATCCACTGATACTTATTTTCTGTTTCTTCTTTTTGGGCTCTTTGTTCTTCTCGGTGATTAACTGCAGTCCAAAATGTTATTTTTTTGAGTACTTGTTGGAGAAGTTTAGGAGGTAATAAAGATATCTGACTTTCTAAAATTATAGCATTTTTACCAATGCAGTCAAGGCATGACCTGTAAACAAAACATACCAGAATTATTAGTTTTTGAACCTGAACTTATAAAATATTTATAGGTAAGTAATATACAAAATAAAACTATAAAAATTTTACACGATTAGGTACTCCCCTGGTATTGTTTGGAACATGACAGGATATATATTCTTTCCAGAGCACCACAGTAATTGTATATTTTTATAGCATGGGGACCATATCTGGCCAAAATCCAGGTACAACTTACCATGCATAATGTTCTTTAAGTAAAAAAGATTCAGACTTAATTTTGAAGCAGGTTAGTCTGAAGCAGACCCCTTTTCACACATCCTTCCAGCCCAGTAACAATTTACTCCTCTCTGCGAGCTGTCTTCTTCTTCCATCACCCCAAGGTGCAGCACCTGGTGTCCATTTTATACCCTGTGACCCGGCGCTCCCCGTACCCCCTCCAGAAGCGACTACACTGGTCTGACTGACAGCCACCCGGAGTCCCAGCCTCAAAGGCAGGCACATGCAGTCTATCTTTGCTCTTCCTCTCATTTCTATACTGGTTCATCTTCCCTATCACTGCTTATCTCCCCTTCCAAACCTCTCCTTTCTGCTTTTTGGAACACCAGCTGTGTCTACAAACACCCCTGCTTCCTGTGACTTTCTGTCTTTGCTTTAAGTGAAATCTAAGAAAATTCCTTTGTGTGCAGCCTTCTGGAGGAAAGAGGACAAATTTCCCCTCAGCTCTGTTTTCACAGTCAGGAGCCAGGATTAGTATGTATTCTCCTCGCCCCTCACTGCTGCTTCCAGGCTGCGATCATTTTGCCGTCGGGTGTTGCCATCTATTAACCTCCCGCTCATTCTCCCCCATCGCTGAGGATTCTGGCCCTGGACTCATCACAGTCTTGTCTCTTGACTGATTTTAGCATCTGTGTGGAAAACCCTTTTTACTCTTATGACCTTACTCAGGACAGTTCCACCTCTGAAATCTTAAACTTCCATATCCTCCTCTTGGACCATAAGCCTGTATCTTTTTAACTCTTACACCCCTTTACTCCTTTGACTCTTCCCTGTTCTCCAAATAATAAGACCCCTCCGGTTGTGACTTTCTTTCCTATCCGGCCTGTCCACATGCACTTCATAGTGCATCCATGTGCACGTTCCTGTCCACATGCACTTCAATCTCCTGCCAGCAATTTTCATCTAATTCTTCACTGTCCCTCTGTTATGCCATCCTAGCTAAACTCCAACCACGGATAAACTCAACCATCTCCTTTCTGTGCTTGCAACCTGGCTTCTTAGTGCGGCTGGAGAAAACCACATTTCTGCAGACGTGGCCCACTGCATATCGATTTTGTTCCATCTCCGCTGAGCCCTCCTGAGTGCTCGGCACTATGATGTTACACATCCCTCGGCAGCATTCCACCCCCAGTCACCTCAGCGGCTATGTCACGTCTTCATCGCCCTCCTTAAGTTCACATCCTTACCTCTCCTCCTCCTCAGACGACCTCACCATCAGCCAAAACCTTCTCAGTGCCCTGCCCCCAACCAAGAAATTCATCTATTTTCATAGCTATACTTCCTTCTTTCGCCATTATTATTATCCCTTCCTCCAGTCAAGGGATAATTCTATTACCTGTTTGCTAAAACCGACCTCCTCAAGAGCCTACTCCATTCATTTATTCTGTTTCCAACAACTTAGTCCCCGATGGCTGCTTCCCTGAGCACAGAAACAAATATGCTCACCCCTTCCCCGGTCGTGGTGCTCGTCCCCAGAAGTCATCCTGGCTTCCCCCTTTACCTTGCCAACGTCTTAGTGTTGCCAAACTCCACGGCACTTGTCAATCCAGATGTTCCGCGACCTCCTTACAGTAGGCAGATGCTCCATCTCCAGTTCTCTCCTCGCTCAGTTTTTGTGCTCCCTTTATCTCCTGCTTCACCTCTAGCTCTGGTCACTCGCCTGTGCCTCCTTGTCCTCTACCTTCTCTTCGAATGTTATGAGTTCTTAATGCTCAGTCGTTGGCTTCACCCTTACTCTCAAAACTCTTCCTGGGCAGAGCTAACCCATACCCATTCACACTCCAGTGATTCTTAAATCTTTATGTCTAGCCTGGACCTTGCTCCATTTATTCAGTTAGTAACTATTTAATGGAACGCTCTGTTGCAAGTCCCATAAGCACTTCAAGCTCAATATGCCCAAAACCAAGTTCATCATTTCTACCCCGTCCCACCTGCAAACCCAATGCCTTCTCCATACTCTATCACTAATTCTTCCCTCTTCTTTCCCTTAGCATCCATTCAACTACCAAGTCCATTCAGCCTGCTAAATATCTCTCCCTCCCTCCCTTCTCCAGCCCCACTGCCACTTTCTAAATCAGACCCTCACTTTGTTCCTGATCAATGCAACAGTCTCTACTAACTTTCCTAACGCAGTCACTTATCCCTCCAATTTCTCATCTACGCTGTTGCCAAAGAAATTTTATAACTTATAATATGATCATCTTATTCCTCTGCTCCAAATTTTTCAATGCTTCCTGACCTCCTGCAAGATAATGTAAACTCTTGTGCATGAGAGACACAGGTGCTAGATGACATACAGTTCCTGATTTCTTATCCAGCCTCATTTCTTACAATTCCTCACCTCATACTTATGTCCCAGGAATACTCAAGAATTCAGTTTCCAGAACACACCATGCCTATATATATATATATATAAGCATGTTAGTGCAAGATATATATATCTTGCACTAACACGTTTGCACTGCTTGTTCACAGTAAATCCTTGTCTCAGACTCTTCTTCCTCTGCAAAGACTTCCCTAACCTTTGCTATCTTAACAAAGGGCCTTCTTCTCCAGTATTCTTATGAACTTTGTACATGTTCCCCTTAAAGCAATTTTATTTTTCTATAATAGTTGTTTGAAAGCCTGCCTTCTATATTCTTAGCAATTTCAGGGAAAGGTCATGGCTTTTCATTTCACAGCACAGTGCCTTCCCATACTAGGCACCCAAATATTATATTTATTGATCGCCGCATATAAAGAACTTGTAATCTACTTAAGGAAAGTGGTTATGTTCACAACAAAAGTTAAGTAACAATACAAAGCAGGGTAAATCATTCCACCAGTTATTTCTAAACTTTGCAAAATGGAATTACCTTTGGTACTTTCAAAAATCCCAAAGTACAGACCGTACCCCAGACCAATCAAATCACAATCTGTGGGGCTGGAACACAGGCATCAATATTTCTTGAAGTTCCCCATGAGATTCTGATGTCCAGACAAGTTTGGAAACCACAGCAGTTACAGAAGGAGTGGCTAAGAAAGACTTCAGGAATGTCCAGTTTGAGCTATGGTTTTCAAGCGGTTTAAGCTGTGGAACGTCTAGAAGTTATAGCACACTCCTTGACACAGAGCATGTGAGCTCCTCTCTCTCTCTCTCTTCCCCTCCCTCCCTCTGTCCCATGCCTTCACCCCTGTTATCCCTGCTGCATAAAATACCCACACGTGTTCACTAGACAACTTCTTCACTCAAATCCCTCCTCCTGACTCTCACAGGCAGAAATAGGGGCTTGCTCCACAATCCACCCACTAAACTTTGTATATATTCCTTTTAAATTAAAAGCATATCAGCTAATACACTGTAAGTCATACCACCAATTTAATAACAACTTTGGGGTTAAAAAAAGAAATTCTACTAAACTAAATTCATATATATGTGTGTCTATTACTAGACACACTCTGATTTCAGAAAAGTTAAAATATGAAAAAAGTCAGGCCTAGAATCAAGGAAATACAGTATGTTTAACATTCCTACATGAACTAAATTCAGTTTTACAAACAAAATAAAAATGTGACTATACTCTATATTTTAATTTTTAAAAATCACATTGGTATATGGTTCATCATTACAAATTTTATTATACTCTTAGGAAGAGGTAAATATAAATTCAAGTAATAATCTACCTGAAAAATATTATAACGTTTCCCAAAAAGGAAGAAATTATCATACATTAATAACATATATGTTTTAAAGTAATGAATTTTCTTACCTGAGTAGTGAATAAGGCTGTGTTTGAAAGATCAATAAATCATTACAATGACCCTAATCAACACAAAAAAGGAGTTATCAAGACATTTGATAAAAATAAAATACATTCATAATTGGATATTTTTATTGTATAAATGTAAAAGAAATTATGTAAAGCAGCAAATAAATCTCTAACTATTCACACACACATACACACACACACACACACAAATGTACACATACCCGCTAGCTACACAAACTTTAGATACGTGGTTACCATTTTTTCAGTGACCAAAAGTCTACCTAACCACAGCCTATATAAATGAAAAATTTAAAATCAGAAACATGTTTTCCCTTTAAGACAGTGGTTTCAAAATGAGAACAGTAGTGGTTTCCAAGTTTTTTGGTTTTTAAGCAGAACTTTGTTCTTCCAAATGACTCATTTTAAAATCTCTTTATTCTGTCCCCCTTTTCCAGGTGAAAGATTCTCTGGGAATTCCTAATTTGAAAATCACAGATCCAGAAGATTTTTTGAATAATGACTCTCTCATCTAAAAGTTAATGTGGAGGAGTCAGCAGAAAATTTTTCTAATACTTTCAAATAGGTCTTTAGAATTTCATAATTTATGATCATGATTTTAATCAGAATTCATATTTTAATGATAAACTTTGTATCCTAAATAAAGATTTCTAGTGCCAAGAAAAAGAAGACAAACCACAAAAGTTGCTTTTTAAGTAAAGTTGTGGTTTTAATCTTTTATTGAAGCACTGAATTCTCAGCCAAAGAAAGTTCTAAAACTTTCACTACACATAACATTTAAGTTGGAGGCCTCAGAATCTTAAAATAAACCAAATTCCCTGGAGAAAAGCCACCTTATCTCAGGGTTCACCACTCCATAGGAACAACTCTGGAGATAACTACGCCTGAAGAGGTGAAAGGGCACTGGGGCCCTCTGGTGGGCTCTGTCTCATTGCAGCCCATTCCTGACGGCTCAGCGCCTGCCATTCCCAAGTGTCCTATGCAAACCAGAGCGATCAATCCTGAGCTCCTGGCCCATCATGTACAGAATGTAAGTGTGGCCATCTCTCTGAATTTCCCAAGGTGCAAGGAGTGGAAGAACAATACTTCCCAAATGCTACTCGTTTATTCCTTTCACTTTAGTTTTATCAGATTTTAAAATGAGAATGCTTTAAACTCAATGTAAAACAGGGGTGAAGCAGTGGCAAAAGGCACATAAAATAAAAAAAAAATACACTTTAAATATTCTATAGTAGTTTCCTCTTGAAGGGAGAAGCTAGCCTTGATAATGTTCTAGTTATAAAGTTAGGTAGCAAATTTCACAAGTACTTATTATTATACTTAGTAGTTTACATATACTTTATATATATTCTTTATATGCACCAAATATTGTGTACAAATATTTTAATTCAATAAAATTATCAACACTCGGGACTACGGGGAGGGTCAAAGAGAAATGAAGATTCATCCTTTAGAAGCTCTTCTTAATAATTTGACTAATGAAGTTAATAGACCTATTTTGATTTGTAAACCCCAAATATCCTGCAATGCTTCACAAAAGCCACTCATTCTGAAGATTAATCGTACAACAGTGTAACATTTCATGCCCTTCCATATTTTTCAATGTGGGAGTATCAACAATCTTTTTGAACAGCCATTTAGTTTGAATAACACAATTACTCAGAGGAAATATTTAGAATTGAAATTTTCTTACTGTATCCAAGGAAAGTAAATCATCTTTGCTCCCACCAAATACCATTATTTCATTTTCTTTTCCCAAACAGGCTGTGTGCCATAACCTATGATCGAAAATTATAAACAGTGAAATACTATCAAGGAAGAAACTGTACATTACATATAAACCAATTTTAAATTGCACACTCCAAAATTTAATCTATTTCAAAAGGGGTATGACTGAACTTGAGCCTTTGTCATAACCTCAAAGGGGTTAGATTTTAAAGATTTCTCTAGAATTATTAGAGAATTAGATTCTAGGTTTCATTGAATCACATTGTTTCAATGAAAGAGAGGCTTCCCTATAACTCTTTCTTATTATATCCTCCGACCTTTTTCTAACCTCTTTATCTCACAGATATTATCATGATATAAAACAATTTTAAAAAGAACTGATCAGCCTATTGCAGAAAGAGTTTTCTTATTGCTATCTGCCATGGTGCTGCTTTCATTTTGACTTCCTTCCCTGTTCTCTGGTCCCCACCACCAGACAAATCCCATTGGTCATTCTCTTTACATTAATATTGTCACACTACTTATCACCCTGGGTACAGAATACCACACACGTTCCTTATTTCTCTGTCTCTAATCTCTTCCAGCTACTTACAGCTGATAAATAATATTTTTCAAATATTTATTGTTTTTAACCATGGACATTTCCTGATCAGGAAGCATCTCTGCCACTTTTCTCAGCCAAAAATTTATGACCAATAGCTATTTTTTTTCCCATAAATTTTAATTCTTGCCTTTCCCCAAATGAACCCTCTATTTCAGCCAAGTCCATTTATTCCCTAAGAGAAGAGCTTGTACCACTTTCTAGGCTTTTGTTAGTTCACCCTGCTTCTTGGGCTTAAAACGAGAAGTCTTTCTCTCAGAGCCTTAAAAATAGGCTCAAAATCTCCAGGAAGTGTTCCAAATACCACCCAAATTGGTTCTGTTACCCTCCCTGTTCAGCACCTTTCAACATTTATGTGCTTATTTTATAATCTCCTAACTCACATTTGAAGACAAATTGCTCTATATACTACTTTAATTGTTTGATGTAATTTGTCTCCTAACTCCCTACAAAGACTATGTATAAGGTCCTTAAGGTCAAAAATGGCCCCAGTGGTGTAAAGCCAACTGTGCCTATCAACTCCATGTTCAATGATATCACATTGGCCATGGTGCAAATCAGCAAATGCTACAAACTAGGGCTTTTCTTTTTTTTGGTTTTGTTTTTCCTGGAGAGCGGTTGTTAACTGTTTACCAGCACACCACTGGAATTTGGGTAATCTAATTTTATATTCTTAAAAATGCTTAATAGGGTGTTCTGCATCCAGCAGGTGCTCAAAAACGTCTGATTAACAAAAGCAAACACAAAATACTAGCATAACTTACTCAGTGATTAAATAAACAAATTATTTCAGAAAGAAGCAGAGCATCTAATGCTGTTTTGGAAATGGTCTGATAGCTCATATCCATCTCTAATTTCACATTATTTGCCAAAAGTAATGTTATAGTTTTATAAAATTTAATATTTCTGTGGGTCTAACTGAGAAAAAAGTACACATAAATTTCTCAATTTTAGAAAATAAATTATAAGTTTTACAGAATCATTGCTTTGACTCTGAGAGTACTTGATTACTTTTTGTTTTTTTTGGCCGCACTGTGCAGCATGTGGGATCTTAGTTCCCCAAACCCGTGCCCCCTGCATTGGGAGTGTGGAGTCTTAACCATTGGACCGCCAGAGAAGTCCCACTTTTCTTTTTTTTTTTTGGTACGCGGGCCTCTCACTGTTGTGGCCTCTCCCGTTGCGGACCACAGGCTCCGGACGCGCAGGCTCAGCGGCCATGGCTCACGGGCCCAGCCGCTCCGCAGCTTGTGGGTCTTCCCGGACCAGGTCACAAACCCGTGTCCCCTGCATCGGCAGGCGGACTCTCAACCACTGCGCCACCAGGGAAGCCCCCACTTTTCTTAATAGACCAAATTGCTGAAGCATCGGATGCCCCAAACAATTACATATTATCATGTCTTTTATTACCACATAACTTATTTTTAGTACATTTATCCTTTTAATTTCCACAAATGCAAACAATTGGCTTATGCACAATTTGTTTAAATAGTTTTCTCAAACAATCATGACACATTCAAGGACAAATGCACTTGGGACCCAGAATAGGACTGAGTCATTAGAAATTTTGTTTGTGAAATACTCTGTCCAATTCTCCAACTTGTATGTTAGAACATAAATTGACACAGATCTTCAGCAACACTCAGATTATGCTGTGGGGTTGGGGATGGGGATTGGAGGAGGGACTGAGGGAAGGAGATCGAGTATAACAAATTCCCTCATAGGAAGGAATAGCTTAATTTCCAGGACAGAAAGCCATGTGTAACCTTGGAAATACTCATGAATCCAACAATGCCTAAGGCTCTATATATCAACACCTTATGGGACATCTTTTACAGACACACAAAAAAGGGACCTTGCTGATAGCCACCTATATAGGCGATCAGATATGGCTACATAGATGGCTATTCACCCAAGCACAGTTTTATCTAAGATGATACCTGGAGAAGAGGGTGTTACACTGTAGGACGGTGGTTCTCAACCAGGGATGATTTTGCCCCCAGGGGGACATTTGACAATATCTGGAGATATTTCTGATTGTCACAATTCCAGGTGTGTGTTGGGGGAGGGTGGGGGGAGTGGGCGCAGTACTACAGGCATCTACTGGGTAAAGGCCAGAGATGCTTCTACACATGCACAGGATACCCCTAACAGCAAAGAATAATTTGGTCCAAAATGTCAATAGTACTTTCCACAGAATTACAAGAGGAGAATTGGGCAGCTTACATTTCAAATTATAACTTGGAAAAGTTTTCACAATATACATTTAAATGTTAAGTAAATTCTTACTTTCATAAAAAATTAGTATATATACACATATATATGTTCTCCTTACACTAAACTGTATCTCACCTGTTCTCCTCCTCACCTCATACCTGAAGATAGATCTGCCTCTGTCTTACCTGCCTTAGGAAAACTCTGGCCTGGACTTCCATCATCGAGGAACACTGGAAAGCCTTTCCTGCCTTGATTTTGGTGACATCTAGCTTGCAACCTGATGTTCTTTTTTACAGACAGCTTATGTCCTCTCACAGCTGCTCTAAACTTATTACCTAAACATTCTAATAAAGCATATGATTTACATGACACATTAGCTGAATTCAAAGAAATCGCTTTACATAGCTCAGTTCTAACTATATATTACTGATAATAGTTCTATGGCTCTGATTACTCATTAAGGATTGAAATATAAAATAGGAGCAATTGAAAATTAAACATATTCTTACCACCACTTTGGTCTATAATTAATTCATTCACACAATCAAACAACTGGAAGAGAACTAAGAGCTCATCTAGTCCAACTCCCTCATTTCACAATGAAGAAATTGATGCTCAGTTTCTTTAAGTGACTTTCCCAAAGCCAAAAAGCTAAGTGGTAGCTGAGCAAGGACGAGAACACTGGGCTCCTGAATTTAATATAAAACTCTTTAAACAATATATTTCAAAAGATCCAGAATTGCTAAAATAATACATTCCACTGAATTTTTATACATGAAAATATAAGAATGTAGTTATGATACACATGTAGTTATGATAAACTCTAAATGTATTGTGCATATTAATATAGATATACACAATGATATATGTATATATATTTACATATAAATATTTTCAGGCCTCTTTCTCAAGTAAGTTACTTGTTATTAAATGTCTGAAATGCATATCACCTTATGCATTAATATATCATTGACTAACTTCACATTAATATAAATAATCTATAGTAAAAAATATTCTGAAATACATGGCATGAAAAAGAATAAAATTACTAACCATAATGATTATAAGGTACTGAATTTGAATCTCCTATGAATATATATCATACTATTCAATCAAATAAGAAAAAATACAGTATGAATGTGATTTTCTTTGCAGTCTAATAATAATATATTTTTCTACAGTTTTTACTCTATAATATACCACAAACAACTGTTTCCTTTTTTAAGAAATTTACATTAATGAATACATCGTACAGTTAATAAAGAAAAATAATAATCTGTCATCTACTTGATCAACATGAAAGAAATTTCCTCATTAAATTGCTCTAAATCTCTTCCAAACCCAAATAACTACTACTAAAGCCAACCCCATTCTTGTCTACTTATTAAAAATATTAACATTATATCATACTTTCAATTTGTTAGCCTTTTCACATTTATCAGGCAAGATTATACATTTACCTAAAAGAATAAAATTTTCAAATATACAAATACGGATAGAAACTGAATAGTTCCTTTCTACAATCAGATATAATTAGGATTATAGTTAAATTATTTGGGTAACATCACGCTTATTTGAAAGATATCCTTCCTGATGGTTTCTGGTTTTAACGGCAAACACTATAAATTCAGTGCTACATTTAATACTTTAAAATTCTTAACTATTTTACTTATTTGTCAACTTCTAGACTTACCTGGGTTTTGTTTTAGGTAAATGTGTAAGCTGTTTCCAACAATTTGTTAAGACATTATGAATCCAACCATCACCTGCAATATTATGACAGTTCAGAAATTAAGATTAGGTGTTTGGGATAAAATTTTAATTTTTTCCCCAAATTTATCATGCTACATTTATATGACTATTTTTTGTGCGTGTGCATATTTTATCATAAAAATTCTCAAACATGTACGAAAGTCAAGTGAACATGACAACGAACCTTCACATAACCCAGATTCAACAACTACTAAGATTTTACCATATGTGCTCCATTTATCTCTTTTTGTTATTCTTGTTGCTGAATTCTTCTAAAACAAATCCTAGCTCTTATCATTTTCCCCAAGCATATTTCAGTGAGCAACACTAAAAAAAATTGGACATTTTTTACACAGCCACCATGTTATTATCACTTAACCACAATGCCACCGTCACAGTCAACAAAACTAAAAGTAATTTCTCGGTATCATCTGATACCCATATGACCATTTCTTCAGCTGAATCTTTGAGGGAGGAAACTGACTAGACTAGGAGTTAGGAGATTTAATTCTCCATAGTTCAATGATGAAAAAAAGCAAATAGGAATTTGAAACAGTAGAGCTCATAAAGATACGATATTAAACAACTCTTAGTGAAATGGATAGATTTTAGGATTTTTTTCTTCCAGTTTTATTGAGATATAATTGACATACAATACTGTATATATTTAAGATGTATAGATGTTAGTTGTTTGTTTTTTTTTTCTTGCGGCACGTGGGCCTCTCACTGCTGTGGCCTCTCCCGTTGCGGAGCACAGGCCCGGACGCTCAGGCTCAGCGGCCATGGCTCACGGGCCCAGCTGCTCCGCGGCATGTGGGATCTTCCCGGACCGGGGCACGAACCCGTGTTCCCCACATCGGTAGGCGGACTCTCAACCACTGCGCCACCATGGAAGCCCGATGTTAGTTTTTAAATTAGATTCCAAATCCTTTTTAATTAAATACCCCACAAATTAGAGAAGTATAATAATCTACAGTAACTAACATCCCCTAGAGGAACTGCTGTTCCTCCAACCAGCATCTGGCATTTCTTGGCCAGAAGACTGCCAGATACACAGTTGATGCTCAATAAATTTTTGTTGAAAAACAAATAGTTGTTTTTCGACCCTATATAAAATTATATAAATGGTTTTAATGGTATATAAAGTTTCTTAAGAAAAATGTCTCTAGCCATAGAAAACTTCTGTGTTAAATTACAAGACACTTGTCAAACTAAGTGGATATTCTTGGTCACTTGTCTTTCTTGGTGCCACAATTATACTAGTGAAAGAAAAACTGTATTACAAAAATCACAGCCATTGGGATGAGCAGTAACAGGAGTTAAAAAACTCTAGCTAAGCACTTTCCTTTATAGTTCTGGAACAAAAAGAGAAGCAACTGGCCTTCCCACCGTGTATTTCTAGAGCTTCCTGGGAAACGTTCCTCTTCTAATCCCCATTCTAGCCTATAGTATAAGCATCTGGATCAAAAATTAGGAAGACACAAAATCAGAAATACTATAGTTGAAAGGGTCTTTAATTCCTCTCTAGGTTCAACCACTTTTCCTTTCCCTACACTAGGAAACAGGAGAACTTAGACAAGCAAGGGTACGGAAGGAAAGGGGCCTTCTACTTCTAATTCATGATGCAACCACATAGTTGGGGATAAAGGTAAACCAGAAAATCAGAAAAGTAAAAATACCTTAAGTATCAAATACAATCAGGTAAAAAAAAGAATAAAATTTTAACTGTAGGTTAAACTTTAATCAACTTACTTAATGGAATATTGTCTGCACTTAGTCCACCAAATAGGAAAAGCGTATCATCAGCTATTGGTGTTAAAGTATGCCATGACCGATGTTTGGGGTTTTCTCCATTAATTGGAATCCTGTGGTGAGGGAAAAAAATAGAAGAATCTAAGTACTGTGTTAGTCAAAACAAAAGTTTTCTGATCATCTCAGATCTCAAAAGAAAAAACTGCCCTCCCTAGTATAAAAAATTTTGATTCTACTAATCCTACCTACCAGAATATTTTTAAAACATTCTTAAATTCTTGAAGAATTTACACAATTTCTTTCCATTTAATGTCTATCCCACTTGGCCAGAACACAGACTGAAAATTAAAAAGTCAATTCCTAGTTATTCACAATGCATACTGAGCATCATTCCTATTGAAACCAAGCTGGACCCGGTGGGGCTCCTGGGCACAAGAGCCTTTCCATGTCCCCTTCCCTGAGTTCCAAAAGGTAGGTTCAAACAGCTGCTAATCAGGGAAAGGAGAGGATGCAGACACAAGGGAGGAGCAGTCAAGAAACAATAGTGCAGCCTTTGGGCAGGGTCCTGGTTCTGCCTCAAGGGATACACATAATATCTTTGAGCTCTTCTGCTGAACTGCAACCCCCACCAAATGCAAGATGTTAACTACATGATGAAGCATGTTTCATTCCAGAGAAGGTCACAGTTTGCCCATCACCACCTGACGCCAGATGACCTCTGGATTGAAGGAATGTGGGCCCTGCACGTACCCTGATCCTTATCAGCAACCCCGCCCCTGGACTATAAGACTCCTCACAGGCTCCCCCTGTTGGGACACACAGTTTTGAGGGCATTAGCTTGCTGTGGCTCCCTTTGCCTAGCAAAGCAATAAAGCTATTCTTTATTACTTCACCCAAAACTCTGTCTCCAAGATTTAATTTGGTGTCAGTGTTCAGAGGCTGGCTTTGGCTTCACTGTTAGTTAATCAGTAAGACTTCCTCAGGTTTTTAACAGAAATATTTTCATGTCTGTCATTTTTTACTGTTGTTTCACATTTAATTTTGTATTTTCATCTGACTTCCTTAAGGATATTATGGGATTTTGTTGTTGCTGTTGCTGTTTACTTTGGTCTATTTATTGTAGAATTTCCTGAAAATGCTACTCTAACTTCACAATAAAAGTATGCAAGCCACTCCAGATTCAGGATAAACCTCTAAAGATTTCAAACAAATACTGTCATATTCTTAAAATAAAAACAGAAGCACAGGGACTTCTCTGGCCATCTAGTGGTTAAGACTCCGTGCTTCCACTGCAGTGGGCATGGGTTTGATCCCTGGTCGGGGAACTAAGATCCCACATGCCACGTGGTGCAGCCAAACCAAACAAAACAAAACCATAAGCACAAAACTTTAACTAATTTAGGAGGTGAGGTCACACCATTCTCCAACATTCCGGAATGCTCCAGAATAACATGGGCCGTTGGTAGAAGATGTAATTTATTTTTTCCAAAATGGAAATATTTTTACTGTTTTTGTTAACTATAAAAAACATTTGGGTTACAACACATTCAACAACCACAAAAATAGTTATTAAAAGGGACAGTTCTCCTATAATCCTGTCCTCCAGCAATAAGAAACATTAATAGTTTGGTATATATCTTTCCTAACTTTAATGCACATATAAAGACATTTATTAAAAATATACAAATAGGATCATATACTCTGTTCAATTTTTTTCATTCAACTAATATGTTTCAGAATATTTCCATGAAGCATATTGTCCTTTGGTAATGGAAGTACGGCAGCTCATTGGGCAAATGCACCATGATTTAAACAACCCCCACTTACGGACATGAGGGTTGATGTCATGTTTTTGCTTTTATAAATAATGTTGCAATAAACATCTTTGTTGTGTGTGCACACACACATACATATATGCACACACATATAAACACTTGTCCAATTTTTGTCTTAGGAGAAATTCTGGATCAAAGTAGAAATTCCATTTTATATTTTAAACATATTACCAGACTACCTTCCAGAAAATTATACCAATTTAAACTCCCACTAATTGTGTTACAACCTAGCACAAACTGATCATTTGTAATTATTTTTATCCGGTAAGTGAAAACTATTATTTTTATTTCAATTTCTTTAATAATTTATGAAGTTGGACATCTTTTAAAAATAATTTCTGCATATTTGTATTTCTTCTATGAGTTGCTCATTCATGTTCTTTGTTCACTTTTATTGGCCTGTTTGTCTTTTTCTTACTGATTTTCTGAGTTTTATGAATCTTAGCCCTTTTGGTTAGAAATACTGTAAATATTACTTCTAGTTTGTTTTTTGTTTGCATTTTCCAATTTGCTTTTTAACTTTTTGTGGTATATATTTCTACACAGAAATATTTAATTCTTAAATGGTCTTATCAATCAGTCTTTGAATTTATGAATTTTGGGTTTATATCATCTTTATAAAAGCTTTTTCCATGCCAAGATTTTAAAGATAATCTGCTATACTTTCTTCTAGCACTTTTGAGGTTTTATTTTTAATAGTATTTATACTTTGGCATAATATATAGGTCTGATTCCAAATCATTACATGAACAGCTGAATTGATAGCTAAATATATTTATTCTATTGTTAAATATATATTATGAGCAATAAAATCAGACTTTGGCTCACTCGGTTTTCTGTTGACCTGTGATGGCCCCATTAAAACTTCATTTGTTCTACTGACCAGTCCTCAAGAATATGTAGTATAAAACCAGTACTTTTACATAATCAATTTTCAACTGCTAGTGTTCTCATGTTTTATATAGTCTAGTTAAAGAACGAACTCTATATTGAAATCTATATATTCCTTGCTTAAGCAAAAAATCTGAAGGGGAAGAAAATATCAGTTCAGTTTTACAGATCCAAGTTTGGGTTATACCATGCATGTGTGCACACGTCTGTGCAGGCAGACACACACACACACACACACACACACCCCACACACAAAAATGCCTACATACTTAAATTTCGAACTTACCTTCCAGACCAGGTCCAGGTATCTAAGTTTAGATAGTGCAAATCATTCATCCTAGTTTGCTAAAATAAAAGTGTATGAAATTGGTCAGTGTTTTACATATTTCATGGGCTAAAATTTTGGTTTTAAAATAAATTCAGATTAAAAATGGATTAACTCTATTTTACTTAACATCAGAAGTTTATATATTGGGAAACAATGCTAAGCATTAATAAAACTAGCATAGAGCTACCAAATTAATGTGTAAAGGGGGAAAGGAAAAAATGAGTTTAAACTAACAAGATTTAGATAATAAGAAATTAAACTTTTCTGATAAATCACTGAAGTGAAGGATTCTCCCCCATTAAAATATGATTTATAATCACCTGTGGTTACTCATGTATGGTCCGTTTAGGGAATAGAAGATTTTAAAAAGTTATTATTGAATGACATTTTAATCTCTAGACTATTTGAATGTTCAGCTATTCCACAAAATCAAAGGATCAATTTTTGTAAGAAGCATCAAAGATTAAAGACCATTTTCATAAAAAACACTAACCAAAACTCGTCCGCCAAAGATATAGCCCTTATTTCCGAGAACTGCACACGTATGCGCGGCTCGTGGCTGCGGTGGAACACCACCCTGCAAGCAGAGATCAGAAAATGGAGAGCAAAGGCTTGAAACATCTATAATGAAGTCACATTCCTATGCTCAGTATGAGAAATACTTGACTGCTAAGTTACCATTACCTATGTAACTTAATTCAAAACCTTAATGCAAAAGTTCGTTCTCAATAGTAATAATTATAGACAAATACTACTCTTAAGGAATTACATTTATTCACCCTGATTTTTACTTTTTTTTACAATATTGACTGATTTATTATTTTTTTAATTTTTTTAATTTTTTTTTTTTTTTGGCTGTGTTGGGTCTTATTTGCAGCATGCAGGATCTTTTATTGTGGCACGCGGGCTCTCTAGTTGAGGCATGCGGGCTCAGTAGTTGTGGTGTGAGGGCTTAGCTGCCCCACAGCAAACCAGGGATTGAACCCATGTGCCCTTCATTAGAAGGCAGATTCTTAACCACTGGACCACCAGGGAAGTCCCTGATCTTTACTTTTTAAAGTGTTTTTCTTAAATGCCTGACACTATTTGGCAAAATAAGATTTCACATAGGGACTTCCCTGGTGGTGCAGTGGTTGGGAATCCGCCTGCCAGTGCAGGGGACATGGGTTCAAGCCCTGGTCCGCGAAAATCCCACATGCCATGGAGCAACTAAGCCCATGCGCCACAACTACTGAGCCCGGGCGCCTAGAGCCCGTGCTCCGCAACAGGAGAAGCCACCGCAATGAGAAGACCACAGTGAGGAGCCCGTGCACTGCAACGAAGAGTAGCCCCCGCTCGCCCCAACTAGAGAAAACCCGCACACAGCAAGGAAGACCCAACGCAGCCAAAATAAATTAATAAATGTATAAAAAAAAGAAAAAAAATTTCACATAAATTTTAGCTTAAAATATAAATATTTAGGGCTTCCCTGGTGGCGCAGTGGTTGAGAGTCCGCCTGCCGATGCAGGGGACACAGGTTCGTGCCCCGGTCTGGGAAGATCCCACATGCCGCGGAGCGGCTGGGCCCGTGAGCCATGGCTGCTGAGCCTGCGCTTCCGGAGCCTGTGCTCCGCAACGGGAGAGGCCACAGCACTGAGAGGCCCGCGTACCGGAAAAAAAAAAAAAATATATATATATATATATATATATATATATATTTCAAAACATTTTCTTTCTCTCCCTTGCCCATCCCACCCCCTCTTTTCCTCCCTTTTCCTCTCTCTTCTCTCTCCCTCTCTCTCACTCATACACACACACAGAGACACACACACACAGAGACACACACACACAGAGTTAATATTAATATGAGTGAGCAGTACACTGTGTGATGATCTCAGAGACTTAAAAAAAAATCAATCTGCCCCCCCAAAACTCTTGATGCTTCAAATTCCACAATAAGAACTTCATTCTTGGCTTAAGCCAGTGTTTATCTCTTACTAAAACTCTTCACACTAACTGATAATACTTCTTTATACTTTACTTTGAATAAATATAGCAGAACTTTTCTTCAGAGAAGTTTGGGGTTGGTGGGAAAAGAGAGGGTATAATGGGTAGATTAATGAATAAGATTTGAAGGAAGAATTTTCTGCATAATTTCCATGTGTTCATGGTGGGTACTTCTGTGTATGTATTTAGTTCCAAGTTCTGAAAGAACCCAACATTTTCAGCTCATTGGCTACCGAATGTGGCCACAGGAAATTTAAGCACTACATCCAATATCATAACCTCCTAGAATTTTTTACTTGAATAATTATGAGGTCAACATGGTAAGAAATAATTCAGATATTACCTATATAACACTTAAATAAATGAGAGAGAACCATAAATGAGAGAGAACCATTTGTGTTGCAGTTCCCAACACTTCCAACAAAACAAGTTTTATTGTCCCATCCCTGATCTGAAATTCTGGAAAAATTCTTCTACTATATACACATTCATTATGAAATAAATATTGACTTTCTCCTTTTTTATCTATGAAATACATTTAATATCCAACCAAAGCTTCTGAATAAACTGAGTTCATACCAGTCCAAACAAAAACAAAGTAATGGCATTTGCATTAGCCTGTGCGGCTAATTGCGTAAATAATGCACAGTGCTTATTAGGTCATTTGAAATACTGAAAATAACCCAAAGACTACTATTATATTCTACTGTCCTCATAGGGTTAAGAGTCCCATGTAGGAAAACACTTTCAACTTTCCATTTAACAGATGACATTATATGGCTTATGTAAAAGTACACAGCTCTTTTCAACCAGTTTCTTCAACTTCAACAGCAGTAACTCGAACACACTACCATGTTACCTTTCCTTTCGCTGCAGACATTTAGGAACAATTAATTCATTTAAGAATGTCTCTAAAACATAAAGGGAACAAATTCTAGCTGCAACCACATCAGAAAAACCTTCAGATATAATATAAACAATGTAAGAACTTATTTGAAGAAATAATCAGAGAAATCACAGTGAAAATACTGTTAAACACTAACTGAAAGAGTGTCAGTGCCCGTTAGGCTGTTGGTGCAGAAGGGGGGAAGGGGTACGGATTAAGGTAAGGAGAGAGAGAAGGAGTCACAACAGAAAGACCTGAAGTCCAAAGAACTAATTATAAGCTACCTCAGTTCACTTATCCCAAGGAGCATATTCTAAAAATATGCCTGCAGTAGCTCCAGACTCTTGCTTATTCTCTAAGGGAGCAGAGCGTTAAGAGACCTGAAAGAGATCCAGGATGAGTTTCAGTAGATCCAGTCTCAATAATATTTCTCTCCACCTGCTTGCTGATACGAAATTATTTTAACAGAGATAAGATGCTTTTATTTCATTAATACATAAATCTTGACATTAAAATGCTGACTGCAGGAAAATTCAATCAACAAATATGATCGACTGATAGTTGATCAGTTCCAAAATTAGAAGAGAACAGAAGAGCACTGAACACCTGAAAAGCACTGCTTGGAAAAAGAGGAAGCTGAGAAGGGTCAAACCTTGTAACACCTGCTATTTTGCACAGAACCTCCCTCACTACCATCTACAGAAGCTGAACTGCAAGGAAATTTAGTCATATGTGCATGTTAGTGGACAGAAATTTGGTTTTGCCTGTTCAGCATTCTATTCTGCACAGTTCCGGTGAGCTGACCAATCACAATACCTTGCTCCCCCAGGGACAGACCTGAGACTCAGACCTGGCCAGTCATCCCCTTGGCAGCAGGGACTGATATAGAGTAGGAACATGCCTAAGTAGAGCCAGAGTCTTTTTCTAGGACAAAGACATAGACATTGACAGAATGCAGCACCAATAGAAAGATCTGCTGGTGTAGCCAGGGCCATATTCCCTTCTAAATGAGCTGGACAGTCTGCAGTAGACAGGATAAAGCTAGCACACAGAGAAGCAGGGAGAAGCCAACAGAGAGATGCAAATATTGTGATGGTGTTGGATAACTGGCTCCAGTTCCTAAGGTCCTGGTCCCTGTAGCTCTTCCACTGTGTGAGCCACTTCAAAATATACTTCCCAGCTATGTGAGAATTCTTTAATGGCTTAAACTAATGTGAATTTGTGTTTGCTCACTAGAAGATGAAAGAGTATTAAGATTTCAAGGGTTTATGAAACATGGGCTTTTTAAAATCATGGACTTTGTTACGAAAGGACTTTTTAAAAGAGACTTCATTAAATCAGGGCATTACACTTGTGGGTAAAGAATAATGATGGCACCTCTTTAGATTTTTCTAGAAAACCTTAGTTAGCCTGGAGAAAAATATGTGATTAAAAAAAGTACTAATAACAGTTCTCATAAGAGAACCCCTTTGTATATGATAACAAACTCAATTACTGAAATCCAATAACTCAGTAAAAGAAATAGATTTTAAAAGTATTAATGAGTATACAAACATAAAGGTGACTTTTTACAATACTTACTTTAATTTCTGGTTGAAGCCAACTCTGTGTCTTTGTGTCAAATATGTGAACATCATTATGCCATCCCCAGAATATCTGCTCTTCCTAAAAAAGAGATTTTAAAAATATTTTAAAAAGCTTTTGTAATTTTTAGATTAGTATTATAGTTTCACTGCACATTTACTGGTGAAATAACAGGCACTTTTACAGAAATAGAGTTAAGTGTGACCATAGTCATAAAGCTAACGCATACACCAGGGTAACCACAGTCGTAAAGCTAATGCATATACCAGTGGCTCACAAAGTGTGGTCCCTAAGCCATAGCAGCATCACCTGGCAACTTTCCTTCTCGTAGTGTTGTTTGCATGAGTCATAACTTTGCTTGTTGACAATCTTCCACTTCTCTCAAAGGAATATCTCTTTTAAAATTGCAGAGAACAGAATGATATTTACATTTGGAAATCTCTTTTCCTAAAGTACAGGTTCAGAATTCCTAATCATTGCTGTTAGAAACTTTAGGGAACAATGATTCCTTTTTCCAAAAAATTCCAATCAATTCTACTTAGCCAAGCACCTTGTTCTTATGCATCAAACTTATGCTCACTCTCTTGTCTTCTAGGAAGAGACTAGACTTCTTTGGCAAGGCAAAGATTTAGCAGTTAGACTGTATTTAGCATCTTCTGCGTTGCTGAAATCCTCTACCACTATTCTAGCTTACCTCTGTACCAGTTTTATGTTATATGTCAGGAATATATCATTCATTTTTGTCAGGACTTGTCAAACAAGTCAAATAAACTACATAATTTACTTAGTTTAGAATCTAAATGAAAAAATCTACCTGTACACCATAAACTTTAGGACATGATCATTAGCCTAACTGTACTAGAGGAGGAAAAAATGAGAGATTTCACTGATGAGTAGACATAATTAATGGGAAGTTATATTACTAAAAATTATCAGTAATACTGTAAGTAGCAAAACTTTAAAGATATTTCATTTTAAAAACTCAAAAACCATGTAAACCACTTTTAACGCTTAAAAACCATTCAGTTTTATTAATTAGCATGTATTAATTTCACACATAGCCCAAATAAAGACTATGGAGAATTTTTAAATACCTATATACAAAGAGATATACATGAAATGTACATATACCTTTATATTAATAATGTACAATAATAATACATGCTACTAGAAGGTAAAACTGAAGACTTACTGTGTATCTTGGTGGTGAGATCAATGGTTTTTAAAGTTATCTTTTAAAAGATTTCATTTTTATAAGTCATGAGTTCTTCCCTTAATAATAATTTATTCTCTAACCAGTAAGAATAAATAGAAAAAGTAATATGACTACCAACTTACTCACTCTCATACAGAAGCCAGACTGAGCTATGAATAGTTCTGGTGGACGTACCTAAAAGGAGGTGTATGTCAGCAACAGCCACTGCGGTTACCTAAGAACAAAGTTTTTCCAAGTTGTGCTAAAGCCACTAGTTTTCTAACAGAAGCAGCTATAAGTGATTAATGGCATCAGAAAAGACATTACTCTGCCAGTAGCCATGAAGGCTGATATAATTAGGTGAGAGAACTTCCTGCAACTGAATCCAAATTCAAAAGAGAGAAAATACAATTTTTTTCATAATATCAATTACAGCAAATTAAAATGAGAAAAACTGGGTTCATTATTTCTGGAGACTGTAACGTGACACTAACTTAGAGGAAAATGTAAACAGGGATTACTCTCTTACCCAAGACGCATCATGAACATCAAAACAATCTTGGAGTTCATTGTGTCTCCTACACCCATAGCCACCAAAATATATTAATCTGAAAAACAAAACAAAGCACACACTTTAGGAGTTCTACTTTCAGTCTGTTCACAGAAAGTTGGAAGACATCATTTCCCTCACAACCTAAACAAGCCATATAAACTACAAAACCATAGTTTAAAAAAAAAAATCAAAGAGCTATGGGAGCAAAGAGACCTAAATGAACTAATTCCAGAAAGTGATAAGCTCGCAGTAGGAGAGAAGAGGCCCATGGCTGCTTTCATACCTGATGTAACAGCAGGAGGAGAAAGAATCCAGCACAGATTGGGTTTGTAAAAGAAGCCACCCAAAATTTTAACAGGCACATGTAGGCTGGCATAGCAAATTAGAATCTTAAGAAACTCAGCCACAGAGGGAGCTTGAACCTACTGAACAACTTTTTCACATAGTCTTCAGGGAGGGCTCAGGGTCAGTCACCAACAGCTGGAAGCAGAGAAGAGCTGAGCAACTCTCCTTGAGGCAATCTGAGCTATCAACTCTAAAGTTTGGGATCTGGGCAGGAGATCTGACAGAAACACCTCAGAGGCATGCCAAGCCGTTACAGCACACAGGGTGGCTGCCCTCAAAAGGCCAGGCGGGGAGGGACAGTGCTGAAAGAGATCTCTCAAGGTACAGAAAGCATAAAGTGGGATTGGAGAGCAAAGAGAACTCCCTAGCAACACAAGTAGGCTATAAAACAAGGAGAGATCTCCCACAGTTATGAGAAGTAGGTACTCAGCTGTGAGGCACTGTTCAAAATCTCTAGACAATCTCTAGTCCTTAAACATGGGGCTGTAGCAAAGGAAAGTCTTGGCCCTGCATCAGAACATTTGAAGCCAGTGGTTAAACTGAATCAAACTAAAGCTGCAACAAAGCCCAGACACAGATCAACTATAGATTAGACTGACTTAAATCCCACTCTAGCAACCTGAAAAAGGGAAAAAAGGGCATGTCCTTTTCTGGAAAGAAATATTGTTTATTCCCAACTTTACTGTTCTTTCATACAGAATGTCTGTCAAATGATGAAGAAATTACAAGGTATAAGAAAAGGCAAAAAAAGTGACCCATGATCAAGAGAGGAAAGAGTCAATATAAGCTGACTCCAAGGTGGCCCAGATATTAGAATTATTAGATATGGCCTTTAAAATAACTATGGTAGAAATAGTAACAGACCAGTTTGTAAAAGGTGGACAATGTGCAGGAAGAACTAGGTAATTTTGGCAGAGACATGGAACCATGAAAAAGAGTGAAATGAAAATGCAAAAAATTGGAAAATAAGATGTCAGAAATAAAGAAATTCATTAGATAGTCATAACAGGAAACTGGACATAGCAATGGAAAAGATCCGTGAACTTGAAGATAAGTCAATTGGTAAAAAAAAGTATCCAAATTAAAACAAAGAGAATGAAAGAGTAGGGGGCGGGGAAGGGAGCCCAAGCTCTGTATAACAATATCATATGATCTAATGTGCATATAATAGGAGTCCCAGAAGGAAAAGAGATGAATAAATGGGTAGAAGAAATATTTGTTAATTAATAAGAACTTCCTAAAACTGATGAAAGATATATATCCACCAACCCCAGAAGCTCAGCACACTCCAAGCTGGATAAATACAAATAAGTGAATTTCTCACCAGAAAAATGGAGGCCAAAAGGCAATGTAATAAAGTCATTAAAGTGCTGAAAGAAAGAAAAATATCTGTCAACCCAATGAGTGAAAAACATCACAAGGGAAATTAGAAATTACCTTGAAATGACTGAAAATGCAAACAGAATAAAACAAAACTTATGGAATACTGTGAAGGTGGTGCTCAGAGGGAATCTTATAGCTATAAATGCCCACAAATTTAAAAAGAAAGATCTCATATCAATAATATAACCATACACATCAAGGAACTAGAAAGAGAAGCAAACTAAACCCATAGATAACAGAAGGAAGTAATAAAAATTAAAGGGGAAATAAGCAAAATGGTGAATAGAAAAACAATAGAGAGAAACAACAAAACCAAAAGTTGGGTCTTTGAAAATATCAACAAAATTGACAAATCTTTAGCTAGGTTGACTAAAAAAAAAGTAGAGAAAACTCAAATTACTAAAATTAGGAGTGACAGAGGGGACATTGAAACTAGAGACTAGTTTCAACTAGAGAAAGCCCACACGCAGCAACGAAGACCCAACACAGCCAAAAATAACAGACAGAAATTAAAAGTATCATAAGAGAATACCAAAACACTGCATACCAACAGACTGTATAAACTAGATGAAATAGAAAAATTCCTGGAAAGACACACACTTCCAAAAGGGGCTCATGAAGAAATAAAAAATCTGAATAAACATATAATAAGTAAAGAGACTGAATCAGTAATCCTAAAATCTCCCAACAAAGAAAAGCCCAGGACCAGATGGCTTCAGTGGTGAATTCTATCAAATATTTCAAGAAGAATTAATACCAACCCTTCTCAAACATTTAAAAATACTGAGAAGGAGGGAACACTTCCTAACTCATTCAATGAGGCCAGCATTATCCTGAAACTGAAGCCAGACAAAAACACAACAAGAAAACTGCATATATCTGATAAGGGTTTACTATCCAGAATATGTAAAGAATTCCTACAACTCAATAACAAAAAGATAAAACAATTCAATTTTTTAAAAATGGGCAAAGGACTAGAATAGATATTTCTCCAAAGAAGATATACAAATGGCCAACAAGCCCAGGAAAAGATGGTCAACATCATTAGTCACTGGGGAAACACAAATCAAAACCACAATGGATATCACTTCACACCCATTACAATGGCAATTATAAAACAAACAAACAAATAAATTAACAAAAAACAAAAGAAAATAGCAAGAGTTGGTGAGAATGTAGAAAATTGGAACCTTTATAGTGGGAATATAACATGGCATTGTTACTGTGGAAAACAGTTTGGTTCTCCTCAAAATGTTGAACATAGAGGCTTCCCTGGTGGCTCAGTGGTTAAGAATCCACCTGCCAATGCAGGGGACACAGGTTCGAGCCCTGGTCCAGGAAGATCCCACATGCGTCAGAGCAACTAAGCCCATGCGCCACAACTACTGAGCCTGTGCTTTAGAGCCCATGAGCCACAACTACTGAAGCCCACGCGCCTAGAGCCTGTGCTCCACAACAAGAGAAGCCACCACAACAAGAACCCCACGCACCACAATGAAGAGTAGCCCCTGCTCGCCACAACTAGAGAAAGCCCGCACGCAGCAATGAAGACCCAACACAGCCAAAAATAAATAAATAAAAATTAAATTAAATTAACTTAAAAAAATGTTGACCATAGAATTACCACATGATCCACCTAAAAGAATCAGAAAAAGAAGAACAAACAAGGCCCAAAGTCAGCAGAAGGAAAGAAATAACAAATATCAGAGAAGAAATAAATAAAATAGAGATTTAAAAAACTAATAGAAAAGATCAATGAAAATAAGAGCTGGTTCTTTGTAAAGATACACAAAATTGAAAAATTTTTAGTCAGACTCATCAATAAAGAAAGAGAGAAGACCCAAATAAATAAAATCAGAAATAAAAGAGAAGTTACAACCAATACCACAGAAATACAAATCATAAGAGATTACTATCAACAATTATAAGCCAAAAAAATGAACAACCTAGAACTGGATAAACTTCTAGAAACATACAATCTCCCAAGACTGAATGAGGAAGAAATAGAAAATCTGAACAAACTGACTACTAGCAATAAAATTGATCAGTAATCAAAAATACTCCCAAAAAACAAAAGTCCAGGACCAGATGGCTTCACAAATGAATTCTATCATACCTTCAAAGAAGATTTAACACCTATCCTTCTCAAACTATTCCAAAAAAATTGAAGAGGAGAGAAAGTTTCCAAACCCATTCTACAAGGCCAGCATTACCTTGATACCAAAATCAGAAAAAGACACTACAAAAAAAAGAAACTTACAGGTTAATATCCCTGGTGAACATAGATACACAAATCTTCAACAAAACACTAGCAAACTAAATTCAACAATACGTTAAAAGGATCATACACAATGATCAAGTGGGATTTATCCCAGGAATGCAAGGATGGTTCATTATCCACAAATCAATCAACATGACACACCACATTAACAAAATGAAGGATAAAAATCACGCAATCAACTCAATAGCTACAGAAAAAGCATTTGACAAAATCCAACAACAATTCATGACAAAAACTCTCAACAAAGTGGGTAGAGAAGGAACACACATCAACAATAAAGGCCATTTTTGACAAACACACAGCAAACATCATAGTCAATGGTGAAAAGCTGAAAGCATTTCCTCTAAGATCAGGAACAATACAAGGATGCCCCCTTTTTTACTTAACATAATATTGGAAATCCTAGCCACAGCAATCAGAGACGGAAAAGAAATAAAAAGCATCCAAGTTGGAAGGGAAGGAATAAAACTGTAACTATTTGCAGATGACATGATTGTATATATAGAATACTCTAAAGAGTCCACCAAAAAACTATAAAAACTAATAAATGAATTCAATAAATTTACAGGACACAAAATTAATAGACATAAATCGTTTGCATTTCTATACACTAATAATGGACTATCAGAGACAGAAATCAAGGAAATAATTCCATTTACAATTGCATCAAAATGAATAAAATACCTAGGAATAAATTTAACCAAAAAGGTGAAAGACCTGTACTCTGAAAACTATAAGGCACTGATGAAAGATATTGATGATGACATGAATAAGTGGAAATATATTTCATGTTCATGGATTGGAAGAATTAATATTGTTAAAATGTTCATACTACCCAAAGCAATCTACAGATTCAGTGCAATCCTTATCAAAATACTGATGGCATTTTTTTCACAGAGCTAGAACAAATAATCCTAAAATTTTTATGGAACCACAAAAGACTCCAAATAGCCAAAATAATCTTGAGAAAGAAGAACAAAGCTAAATGTATCATGGTTCCTGGTTTCAAACTATACTACAAAGCTACAGTAATAAAAAAAGTAAGGTACTGGTACAAAAATAGACACATAGATCAATGAAACAGAATAGAGAGCCCAGAAGTAAACCCATGCACATATGCTCAGTTAATCTACAACATAAGAATATACAAAAAAAAAAAAAGAATATACAACAGAGAAAAGACAGTCTCTTCAATAAGTGATGTTGGGAAAACTTACAGCTACTTATAAAAGAATGAAACTAGACCATTTTCTCATACTATATACAAAAATAAACTCAAAATGCATTAAAGACTTAAGCATAAGACTTGATACTATAAAACCCCTAGAAGAAAACTTAGGCAGTACACTCTTTGAAATCAGCCTTAGCAATATTTTTTTGGATCTGTCTCCTCTGGCAAGGGCAACAAAAGCAAAAATAAGCAAATGGGACCACAACAAACTAAAAAGCTTTTGCACAGCAAAAGAAACCATCAATAAAACAAAAAGGCAACCTACTGAATGGGAGAAGATATTTGCAAATGATATGTCCACTAGGGGCTAATATACAAAATATATAAAGAACTCAAACAACTCAGCATCACTTAAAAAAAAACAACCCAGTTAAAAAATGGGGAAAAGACCTAAATAGACATTTTTCCAAAGAACACATACAGATGTCCAACAGGCACATGAAAAGATGCTCAGTACCACTAATTGTCAGGGAAATGCAAACCCAAACCACAATGAGACGTCACCTTATACCTGTCAGAATGGCTATTATCAAAAGGACAAGAAATAACAAGTGTTGGCACAGATGTGGAGAAAAGGAAACCTTCATGCATTGTTGGTGGGAATGTAAATTAATACAAGCACTATAGAAAACAGTATGGAGGTTCCTCAAAAAATTAAAAATAGAACTACCATACTATCCAGCAATGCCACTCCTATTTAACCAAATAAAATGAAAACACTTATTCAAAAAGATATATACACCCAATGTTCATTGCAGCATTATTTACAATAGCCAAGATATGGAAGCAACCTGTGTCCATCAACAGATGAATGGATAAAGAAGATGTGGTGTGTATGTATGTACACACACACACACACACACACACACACACACACACAGAGAAATATTACTCAGCCATAAAAAGGAATGAAATTTTGCCATTTGTGATAACATGGATGGACTCAGAGGATATTATGCTAAGTGAATAAATCAGAGAGAAACAAATACTGCATGTTTTCACTTATGTGTAGAATGTAAAAATCAAAACAAAGAACAAATATGAAAAATCAGATACAGAGAACGAACTAGTGGTTGCTAGAGGGGAAGGGTGGGGGATGGGTGAAATAGTGAAGGGATGAAGAGGTACAAACCAACAGTTATAAAATTTAAAAACTAAATAATAAAAGATAAACTTGGATTCATATCTCATACCATTCACAGGTTTTTACTGGTTCTTTTTTTTTGGCTGTGCCACACGGCTTGCAGGATCTTAGTTCCCCGACCAGGGATCAAACCCATGACCTCAGCTGTGAAAGTGTGGAGTCCTAACCACTGGACCTCCAGGGAATCCCTCCCATGTTTTTAAAAATAACAAAAGTACTAGAGGAAAATATGTGAGAATTAGTTTATAATCTTGGAGTGGAAAAAACCTTTGCAATTGACTCAAAGTCAAGAAGCCAGAAAAGAAATTATTGATAAATTTACCTAAATAACAGCTTTAAGAAGCTGTTTAATACATGCAAAACACACTTTATGCAAAGTCAAAAGATAAATGACAACCTGGAAAAAATATTTTCATATCACAGTCAAACACTAATCTCTTTATACATAAATAACTCCTAGAAGTCAAGATTATAAATGCCAACAATCAAATAAAAAATAATTAGCAAAGGATTTAGTTTTCAGTTCAGAGAAAAAGAAATAAAAATTGCCCTTAAATATATGAAAATTAAAATAAGACTGAGGCATCACATCTCACCTATCAATTTGGCCAAAAACATCTAAGTTTGCCTGCAAATTCTTGGCAAGGCTGTGGACAAAGAGGCACTCCATTACTGACAACACAAAACAGCACAACTTTATTGGAGAAAAAGCTGGCAAAATCCGATGTTATGGATTGAATTGTGTCCCCCACAAAATTCATATATAGAAGTCCTAATCCCCTGTATTTAGAATGTGACATTATTGGCTACTCAAAGCAGAGTACTAATGGTTATCAATTTGTAGGGTCAGAGAAAGCAACAGCAGCATAATCATAGTTGGTTTCTATTTAAATCTGATTAATCCACAATTCAAAGGTTTAAGATATTTTCCTTTCCAAATTCTCATATTCTAGAGAGTATTTTGATCTATGTACCTTTTCATGACCAAGATAATCTTATTCCTTACGCTGTGGAATTCTGATATGCTTTTTGAGAATTATAAAATATTTTGTCAAATTTTAATGTCTGCCTTTTGTATTCAAAATATAAATGTGTATTATTTAAACTGATTGTTTTTTAAAACTTAACACCCTCCATCTTAATTATTATAAGTGCCCCCTGCAGTTTAAAGAGATTTTTTAAAATAAACTGAATATTGAATAAAGCAGAGTAGGAATTACTGCAATTAAGAAGGCAAAACAATTATATTTTCTAGAAATAAAAACATAAGAATAATAAAAGAAGAATGTGACCTTATTTAGAGACAGGGTCCTTATAGAGGCAATCAAGTTAAAATGAAGTCATGAGCGTAGGTCCTAATCCAATATGACTGGTATTCTTACAAAAAGGGGAAATTTGGAGACAGACAAGCACACAGAGAGAATGCTATGTGACTATGAAGGCAGAGATCAGAGTGTTGCTTCAACACACCAAAGGTTGCCAACAAATCACCAGAAGCTGGGGACAGGCATAAAACAGATTCTTTCTCAAAACCAAGAGAATGAACCAACCCTGCTGACACCTTGATCTCAGACTTCTAGCCTCCAGAACTATGAGACAATACATTTCTGTTGTTTAAATTATTCAGTTTATAGAAATCTGTTACAGCAACCCTAGCAAAATAAACATTTATCACAATTACAAATGTACTACCCTTTGACCAGAAATCAAATTCTGGAATTTTATCCAACAAATAGATCTGCAATCATATGTATATATACACAAAGATATTCATTTAATCTAAGTGTTGTGCCATCTATATGGGAAAGGTTAAATAAACTTGGTATATCCACACAGGAGAATACTATGCAGCTGTACAAACAAAAACAAAATCAAGCTTTCTAACTAGAGATACAGAAAGATGAAAGTTCCCCATGGTATACTGTTGACTAAAAGAAGTCCAGTGGTTAAGACACCGCACTTCCAATGCAGGGGGTGCGGGTTAGATCCCTGGTCAGGGAACTACAATTCCCATATGCTGTGTGGCATGGCCCCCTCAAAAAAAAAAAAAGGAGGCAGCAGGGTGCAGAATAGTGTATGGAGTACACCCATATTTGTGTAAGGAGGAGGAAGAGAAGAGCACGTACCTATGTATTTGCTTCTATCTGCATAAAGTCACAGGGATTGCAGTTGTTCCCAAACTTGCCTGCACTTGGAATCACCTGAGGAGCTTAAAAAAATCATACCCCCAGTGATTGCAATTTGATTAGTTCTGGGGTATCACCTGGGCTTCAGAGCTTTTAAAAGATCCCCAGATTATTTCTATGGCAGACAAGTTTGAGAACCACTGCTATAAAAATACAAAAGATATTAATAAAAGTAGCTAATTGTGCATGTGGAGGGTGGGAACAGGATGGAAGGGGACAGGAGTGGGAGCCAGACTTTTCATTGTATCCTTTTCAATATGTTTTTGAACCATGTAACTGTATTAACGATTCAGAAAATTTAAAAAGTAACGAATTTTTAAAAACCAAACAGCTGCTTCCACCATGTTTACTCTTATGACCTGGCTCTTATCCAGGGTTCAAAACTGCCTTTAACATCAGTGTCAAAACAAGTTTGTAACTATCTTGAAAAAAATTTCAGACTTTCAAGTTTTCTCTATTTTGGTCACAAGCTGTAATCCTTACTTAAGTGCAGTTAATGAGATGGTCTTGCTGCATTACCTGTCTTTATATACCCAGCAGGAAAGTTTATCACGTGGTGTGGGTGGTTGACCTTCAAAGTTGGTGATTTTTTCCCAAACATAGCTTCCATCTCTTGTTCGCAAATTAACAAAATAAAGCTTTTAAAAGAGGAGAACACCATTAGCAGACAGGACATTGGAAAATTAAACATATGTCACAGGGATATGTGATCCAAAATTAATAATATTACTTTTTGATTTTTAAAAGGTAAAAATTTGAATTGTAGCGTTAATGAAAATGGGACTATGTTTTAGAAGCAAAAATGATAATATGAAAAATACTGAAATGGATCTTTTCCCATCATGCTCTTGCCCTATGAATATCAACTAAGTACGTAGTTAATTCTGAAGCAGAAAGACATGGCAGAAGAGAGGAGCACGATGCTGCATTTTCACCCTATCTTTAAAACCTTATCATCATAAGCTCAAGCTTTTCTACATATGTCTTCTTTGTAAAATACATTCGTAAACTTGTGAGATGAAGTGACACATTAAACATTACATTTTTCTGCGCTCCTGAATTGAAAAAAGAAATTACTCGATTGCTGTATCCTTTGTCATCATATCCTCCAAAAACGTATAGCTTTCCATTAAGGCAAGCACCGCAACTTCCTGACATGGAGGTAGGGAGTTCTCCTTCCATGAGGTGCATCGTCCTGCAGCAAGAATAACGTGGAATTCCATAACTTTCCAGAAAAGCAAATTAAAATTCCCTTTGAATTCCATGAGTACTTTTTCAATGAAAAATGTCACTGACAATTACAATTAAGATGTAATGGTAGCCAATACTGTAAAAACTGTAAGAAGATCCATGGTAAAGATTTTTCAACCTACTGGGGAAAAAACAGTTACAAAATCTTCACATGTCACCAGAATTGGGAATTAGTTAGAAGAACAAAGCGAAGTCTTCAGAAATAGCCTTAGTCTTGAGAGGAATAGTAGAGGACAAAGAACGGAGAGAGGAAGCAAGTTGGGGAAAGAAACAGCCAGAGAGAATAAAGCATTGAAAGAAAAGGAAAGGGAGACAATATAATGTTGCAGCACGTTCTAAGTAGGGTCTCAGACTCCCTGTGGGCTATGACAGCAGTTATAACAGATATTAAGACTGGACATTCTGCAATTTAAAGTTACTTACCACAACCCACTATCAATCTCATAGGTCCAAATCTCATCATTAGGCAAATATACTTCATTGTCTTCAATAGACTAAAAACACAGAATACATAAAATTATGTTTATTAGTTACAAAGTAACAACTAAATAGTTCCTCAGGATGGGAAAACTGCAATGGAAATAGTACAAAACACAAAACCATAAACAGCCTCAAAGATGACTTTTTCAACAGAAATAAAGATAGATCAAAAGAGAAGGGGAGGGGCTTCCGTGGTGGCGCAGTGGTTGAGAGTCCACCTGCCAATGCAGGGGACACGGGTTCGTGCCCTGGTCCGGGAAGACCCCACATGCCGCGGAGCGGCTGGGCCCGCGAGCCGTGGCCACTGAGCCTGCGCGTCCAGAGCCTGTGCTCCGCAACGGGAGAGGCCACAACAGTAAGAGGCCCGCGTACCGCAAAAAAAAAAGAGAGAAGGGGAGGAGAGACATTTTCTAAGAGAAAGTGGGCAAACAATAAGGGTTAGAATACAAAATAGCAAGTACGTGAGTCTCAAGAGAAGACTCAGGGTAGTTAAACCTTACAAGGAATTTCAAGTAAGAGAAAATAGCAAAACAATAACATTACAGCAGAATACTGAAGAATGTGAAGCCAGGAAGAAAAGGAATATCAAAAAAGGGCAATATACTTTGGGTGAAGGGAAGGAGTTAAGAAAGGAAACTTAAAGTATAATTAAGAGCACTGTATCACATACCTTGATTCACTAAACATATTTTTTGAGTGCCTACTATGTGCAAGCATAGTGTTAGATATTCATTAAATATAGAATCTAAGGATCAAGATAAATTTAGCTAGTCAAAATGACAACTCAGAATCTGAATAATCTCTAAAGAAGCTGATACCATAAACAGAATAGTACATTCTGATATTTATGATGAAAAGAAAAATTAGAATAATAATTTTCTTTATGTTAAGTTTAAAAACTTAGGGGTTAAAACAAATCCTTACATAAATCTATCATGATTACTTAGAATCTATAAAATAACTCAAAAATAGCTAGTTGTAAAAGATGTCAGTTTAAGAATTTCTAAGACTATATGATGCATAAATTATTAACATGCTAAACAGAGTTAGCTAATTTCCTCATTGTTATGTTAGTTAAAATTTTAAAATAGTATCTTGGCTACCAGGCCTCTGTCTCTCTCTCTCTCTCTCAAACACACTCTCTGTCTCACACGCACACTCTCACACACACACACACACAGAGCAGAAAACCATTATATTAATTCCAAGGAAACTTCCACTCATGTCTGACTGAGGAAACCATATGACATGGCTAAGTAAATAACTGTTAAGAAAGGGAGATTATAATTGCTTGATTCTAAAGTTTAATGGCATCAGGCTCTAGTAGTCTCACGCATATACCATTACAACAGAAATAGTATGAAAATGGATTTTGTTACTATTCTGCTTAAGTCCCTTCAATGCTTCCCTGTTGCTCTCAGGATAGTCTAAAATCCTTATGATTCTGTGCTATATGGTACCTGCTATCCCTCCAAAGTTCTTCTTGCCTTTAGTCATTGTGCTCCAGTCTTCTTTCAGTTTCCATCTTACTTTCTCAGCAATTTCACTCCTAAATTATCCCTTCTCTTCTACATCATCAAGTTTCCTTCTCTACCAGATCACTCCTATCAATACCTAAACATGCCTTAGTATAACTCATCTTTAAAAAACAAAAAAAAAACCCCAACTCTCCCATAACTCTTTCTCTTATTTCTCTGCTCCCTTCACAACAAAATTTCCATACTGAGTTAACTATAGTAGAAGTCTCCATTGCTTCACCTCTCATTATTTCATCAGTCCAGACTAATCAATCCAGACTCATTCCACTAAAACTGCTTTTGTCAAGGTCACCCTAAAAAAAGAGAACTAGTGAACTGATTCATCCAGAAACATAGCCCAGAGAGATGGAATATATAAAAAAGAAGAGACATGGAGGAAGAGAGAGAAGAACTAAGTCTAATCAGAATTACATTAGGATGTAATAGGGAGAATGAGGAAGAGGCAATATTTGAAGAGACAGAACCTGAGAGTTTTGCAAAATTGTTGAAAGTCATCAATCCTGAGATCTAGGAAGTCCTAACAAGTTCCAAGCAGGGTAAATAAACAGAAATCCATACCTAGATACATCATAGTAAAACTGTATATCAGAGAAAAAGATACACTCTTAAAAGCTGCCAGAGAAAAGAAAGATCATCTTCAAATGAATGGCAACTAATGACTGACTTCTCATTAGCAACAACTCAAGAATAAATCATATTAGCCAATGTGCTTAATGAAAGTAACGGTCCACCTAGAATTCTATACTCAGTAAAAATATCTTTTAAGAACCGAGGTAAAATAAAGACATTTTCAAACAAAAATTGAGACAGCTGGCCAATAACAGACCCTCACTTTAAGAAATTCTAATAGATGTTGTACTTCTGGCAAAAGACAAATGATCAAAATTAAACATCTGAAATGCAACAAGCAATAGTGTGACAAGATACTGGTAAAGTGTGTGGGTAGATTTAAACATAAAAAAGGCTAAGCTTTTTCTGATGCCTAATTTAAGGCGGGGGCTGCAGGGAACAGGATAGGACTAACTAGAGAAGAGGGTGCTCAGATTTAAAAGCTTGTGAAGTATTTGAACCCTGTGGAAAGAAGTAAAATTATTAACTTGGAACTTTGTGAAGCATTCGTGCTGAAATAGAGTATCTACTAGATGACTAGAAATAAATCACCTAATTTCTATACAAGCAAAGAGAAAAAAATGGAAAGATAACAAAAAACTCAAAACATTTTCAAAATGACAAAGTTAAAGAAGGAGGAGGAGGAGAAATGAAGGGGGGCAAATATAAAACACATCTGATGAAAAAAGTGTATCAGAATTACTTTCAGTAGAAATAGGCTAAACTCTCTAGATATGTCAGACTAGATAAAAATAACATCCAGCTATTTTCAGGTTATAAGACATATCTAAAATATAAAGATACACCAAGTTTCCATCAGAAGATATGCCATGCAAATACTAACCAAAAGAAAACTAGTGTAGCCATATTAACACCAGCAAAATAGATTTTAAGGCAGATAACATTACTACAGATAGAGAAGCATTACAAAATTATAAAATGTTCTATTAACCAGAAAGCTATAACAATTCTGAATTCATATACACCCAAAAAAGTAGCCTAAAGATATATATATAAAGTAAAATCTGACAGGATCATAAGGGGAAACAAACAGATCTACAGTTAGAGTGGGAGTTTTTAATTTTAATACCTGTTACAGTAATTGATAGAACAGGAAGTAAAATAATAAAAAAAAGGATACAGGAGATTTGAACACAATTAGCAAGATTAATAAAATGCACACATATAATACACTCCCGTGAAGTGTTTGTGTATATATATACATATACATGCACGTATATGCACATATATAATTAGAATATATATTCTTAATGAGAACAAAGAGTATATTTATGAAAACTGATTACATGCTAGTCCTTAAAGCAAGCCTCAACATATTCCAAAGGACTGGTATTAGATAAGTAGAGACCACACTCTCTGAATATTAACACAATTAAGTTAGACATTAATAACAGAAAGGTAACTATAAAAATAGCATATTGTTAGAAATTTAAATTATTTTCCTAAACAACTTATGGGTCAAATAATAAATAATCATGGAAAGTATAAAATATTAGAACTAAAATGACAAAATACTGCTTATCAAAACTTGAGGAATACAGCTAAAGAGGTACTTAGAAGAAAACGTATAGCTTTATATACTTACATTAAAGAATTAAAAAGTCTCAAAAAGAATGAGTTGAGCATCCAATGTCAGAAATTCAAGAAATAACAGCATAATAAACCCATAGAAAGTAGGAAGAAATAAGAAGGAGCAGATATTAATGAAAAAATTAAAAACACAACAGAGAGTTTCAAGTAGACCAAAAATTGGTGTTTCTGAAGGCTGATAAACCTGTGGCAAGACTATTCAAGGTGGGTGGCGGGGAGGAAAGGAAGGCACCACTTGACAATTCTAGGAATGAAAAAGGGGCCATATCTATAGCTACTACAGAGAATAAATAGTATTATGAACAACTTGAGTTTATGCCAATAAATTTTAAAATCTAAATGAAATGGATAGACTCCTGGGGCTGGAGGTGGGAGTGAGGAAACTTGACTCAAGAAAAAATGGAAAATGTGAATAATCCCAGAGCTTTAAATAGATTGAATCAGAGATTTAAAACCTCCTCCACAAAGTACCAAACCCAGATGGCTTTAAAGATGAGTTCTTACAAACACTCAAAGAACAAGTAATTCAATCTTCAAAAAAATCTATTCCAGAATATAAAAGAAGGAACACTACCCAAACCACTTTTGAACATAGATGTAAAATTGCTAAAAAAGTAATTAGTAAATAGGATCCAGTGATGTATAAAAAGGGTAATATATTACACTAACTTGTACTTAATCCAAGGAATGGAACATTGGTTTAATATTACAAATATTACTTATTTTTTGTATAAGTCATCATATTAAGAGATCAAAGAAGAAAAAACAGTTATCTCAGTATGATGCAAAAAAATCACTCTTGAAAACTCAACATTCATAAATTGAAAATCGGGTAAAAGGGCATGTCATTAATTTGAAAAAGCCCATCTACAAACAAACAAACAAGCAAAACCCTAAAGCAATCATCAAACTTAATGGTTAATAGTTGAAAACAATCACTCTGAGATTAGGACCAAGAAAAATTGGCTTCTATTTAACACTGTACTTCAGGTCCACCAGTGTAGTAAAGAAAAGGAGATAAAAAGGAATAAAGATTGGGATGCAAGAAACAAAACTGTCATCATCTGTAGATTACATGACTCTATATAGAAAATAAAAATATAATTAACAGATGAATTTTGAAAATTAATATAAGAAAGCTTGCCAGAATCAAAAATATTCAAGTCAACTGCATTTCTAAACACCAGCAACAATCAAGAAATTTAATTTTTTAAAAGAAATTTAGTTTTTAAAAAACAATAAAAAATACAAAGAAGCCAAGAATAAACCCAACAAAAGATATACAAGATCCCTATGAAGATGCTATAAAACTCTATTGAAAGACGTCAAAAAGTCCGGCATAGAGAGACATACTATACACCTGGATTTGAAGTCTCAATTTCATAACATGTTTATCACCCTCAAATGATCTAAGACTGAGCACAGTAACATAAAATCTCAATATGGTACTTTATTTGACAATCTGATTCTAAAGTTTATACAAATGAGGAAGCACTGTGGAAAACAATTTAGCAGTTCTAAAAGTTGAATGTAGACTAACCATTTGACCCAGGAATTCCACTCCTAGGTACCCAAAAGAATAAAAAATAGGGGCTCAGATACTTGTATGCCGATATTCATATCAGGACTATTCACAATACACAAAAGGTGGCAACAACCCAAGTGTCCCAACAACAGATGAACGGATAAACAAAATGTGGTATATGCATACAGTGTAATCGTATTCACCATAATAAGGAAGGAAGTTCTGATACATGCTGCAACACAGCGAACCTTGAAAATATTATGCTAAATAAAATAAGCTAGACTCAAAAAGACAAATATTGTATGATTCCATGTATATGAAGTATCTAGGAAAATGCAAATACATAAAGACAGAATGATTAGAATTTAGCAGGGACTGGGGTAAGGAAGGAGGGAGAGTTTCTGTTTGGAGTAATGAAGAGTTTTGGAACTAGATAGTGGTAACACTGCACGACATTGTGAATGTAATTAATGCCACCGAACTGTACAGTCACCTGGTTAAAATGGCAAATTAAATGTTTTATATATTTTACTATTATTGAAAAATAGTAAAGAAAATTCATACAAAAGAACAAAAGGCCCTAAATAACCAAACTATTCCTGAAGAACAAGAACAAGATAGGGTGGGGATGGGGCTTTTACCACCCAACATTTAGACTTCTAGTAAAGCCACTGTAATTTAGATACTGAGGTTCTGTCACAAGAATAAATAAACAGACAAACTGCACAGAATAAAGAACTTAGAAACAGACCACACATACATGGAAACTTGATGTGTAACAGACTGAGTTTGCATGTTAGTAGGGAAAGAGGGGACTATTTAATATATGACACAAGAACAACTGGTTATCCATACTGAAAATATAATGAAATTGGATCCCTACCTTAAACCAACCAAATAAAAAATTCAGATTTAAGAAAAAAAGATTTAAACATGGAAGGCAAAACCAAAAATCATTTAGAAGACAATACAGGAGACTTTATGATCTCCATAATGGGAAAGATTTCTTAAGATGCAGAAAGCACAAAGCGTTAAGGAAAAGACTGAAATTACATTAAAATTAAAAACTTCTGTTGAACAAAGGATAATCATCAAGAAAGTGCAAAGATAAGCTACAAACTAAGAAGGCATATTCAACTCATACAACTATATAATTAAAGTATTCCTATAAATCAGTAAAAGACAACTCAACAGACAAATGAGCAAAAGACAGGAACCAGCATTTTTACAGAAGAGAAAACACAAATAGTTCATAAGGCTATGAAAATACATTCCACTGTAATCATGGAAAGTAAACAAAAACCACAATGAAATATGTCACACTCACTAGATTGGCAAAAACTTTAAGGCCAGATGGCATCAAATGTTGTCAAGGATGTGGAGCAAGGAGGGGGCTGGTGGTAGTGTAGATTGATACAAATATTTTGGCAACACTGACATTCCCAAGTAAATGTGGATATGTGTGCACCAGGCAACCCAGCATTCCATTCCTTGGTATATGCCCTAGGGAGTGTACATGTCCTGCTGCGTGTATAACAGGAGATATGTTACCAAGAATGCTCAATGTAGCATTGCTTACAACCCAAAAAAACCCTGAAGCGTTCAAATATTCATCCATAGTGGAATAGATAAGGAAATTGCCGTAAATTCACACAATAGAATATCATACAGGACACACATCAGATGAATGCATCCAGGGATGATTTTCAAAATATTTAATAACTGGGCAGCACAGAAACTAACCAAACAGAATAAACACCAAGTAAACACAGGTACAGCCATGCAAGTGCACACCAGCTGAATACAAGTAATGTGTGAATCTAAAAAACATCATGTTAACTAAAAGAATTAAGTCATGAAAGAAAACACATGCTCTGATTCAAAAACCAAATAATATATTGTTTAGAGAGAGATGCATGTGTGATAAAACTATAAAGAAAATAGTGAGTAATTAGAAATCAAGATAGTGGTACCCTGTGAGGGTGGGAGGAAAAATATAATCAGTGAAGGATAAACAGGAGTCTTCTAAGGTACTGATTCTAGCTGATTTTTTAATCTGGAAGTTAAACATGACAGTTATTTTACATACTCTTTTGTACATACGTTTCAAATTTTTAAATTAAAGAATAAAACTTTAAGAAAGTAATATTAGGTAGCTCACGGAATCATCAGGGAAGCTGGAGAACCAGCCTCTGATCTATGTAGAGAGGAGCAAGGCCTGAAACCCTTCCAGAGAACCAGTCTGATGCACGAACTGCCCCAGCCACTGGTGAGCATCACACTGCAGCTTGTAGCACTGCCTTTTGCCAGGGACCTTATCTTCCTACAACTTCTACTGCTCGCTAAGAATCCTCTTCAGGTCCTGACTTTTACAGGTTTATTCCTGAGCCCAAATCTAGCACACATACATCTAACAAACAGCATCCAAGTTACTTGCTCACAACCTAGCTGCAAGGGAAGCTGAAAAATACCTGGCACTCAGGTTCTTTTATATGGGGCACCTACCATGAGCTATGCCCAATTCTGGACATTGGAGACACAATAGGGAACAAAACCCCCTTCTTTATAGAATATACATTCTATGAAGGTAGGTAGGAGGTACTCAGACAACTAAAATAAATACGCCAACAAGACTCGCTTAGTGGGGAACACTACAAGAGGAAGGGGGTTCAAATGCTGGGCATCTAAAAAGAATAAATGTCTTCCACATAACATGGATGGTCTGTGTCACCATCTATGAATATATAAAGTGAACTATTAAGTTAAAGAAATACACACTTAAGGATTTGAATACACATTGCTAAATTTCTCTTCAGAAAAGGTTACCAGTGCATGAGTAATTCATTTCCCCATGCTCTTCTCAAAAATTCTTTTTAATATTTGCAAATTGGAAAAGGAAAAATTCATTATTTTCAGCTGGGTTTCTTTGATTCATATTCTATTTTTATTTCTTCTTTCGTAAACTGCTGTGCATATCCATTGCTCATTTTTCAAGGGAAATATTCATTTTTAATTTTACAGGACCTTTGTCTATCATAAATGTTGCAAATACCTCCCCCAGTTTGTCATTTGCCTTCTTACTTTATGGTGTTTAAAAAGCACAGATTTTAATTTTTTAAAACTTTGATCTTGACTGCTCTAAGATGATTAAACAATTTTCACTTACATTAAAAAAATTTTTGGTCTACCAATCCTTTTCCCTTATAGTTTTTTCCCAATTCAGTTTTTCTTTTCCCAACTCAAGTACAAGAGTCACATATTTTCTTTGGTATCATATAGCTTAACTTCTCTACATTTGTCAATCCTAAAACTCCACTATCATTTTCCTCCAGCTGTCCCAGGACCATTTATTGAATAAGCAATTGTTTTTCCAGAATTGAAATGCTACCTTTTATATACAAAATACTCTTATATGCTTGGCTGTTTATGTTATTTCTTCTCCATTCCATCATGCTTTCTCAGCGTGCATCAGGACCACTGATTTAAAAGTATCATAATATGTTTTAATATCTGGTAGTATAAACCTTCATTCTTTTCAGACATTTTCTAAATTGATTCTTCTTCCCTTTAAGTCCTATTCAAAACAGAAATATATAGTTAAACAGATTCAGCTGCTAGCTTCTATAAGGAAAAGTTTAGGGCAAAATGTATTAATATCAATTGTGTTAGGGAAATAAAACTGTTCATACGATTAAACAGTAAAGAAAGCATATCATCTGTAAGGATGCTAAAACCCTGTGCTTCTCCTCCAAAATTTGGAAAAAACTACTCACAACTTTTAAATCCTCCTAGTTGCAATACTAAAGTTTGTATGAATTTCAGTAATGTGGAAAGGATATGGAAGAACTAGGAGCAAGAGAATATTCTGGCACCAATTAGAATTTACTACTTACTTTTTTCAGCTTTGCTGCTCTTACCTCTAGAGGTAGGGCTGTTTTCAGATACAAAGTCCTTTAGAAAATGCTCAACGATAGGGTAATAAGTAATTTAGACAGATATATGTGAGCCATTCAAGTTTTAGGATATACATTTGTCAATTTTAACACACATTGTGTTAATGAGGAGGAAAACTGTGCTTGGAACATACAATCTGGAATCATCTGACCATTATTCTTAACTGCTGACTACTGGATTACCTCCAGATTCCAGGGTCTTTTCGCTGTTCAGAAGGATCTGAATAAAACAATTGTGGGAAGGATTCTATTTTTTCTCACGATATGCCATGTCTTCTTTTCTGCCTCCTACTCTCCCTTTCCTTCCGCTTATGCCTTAGACATATTTTAAGCGCTGACAATCCCTGGAATTTAAAAAGTAGTAGACTTGATCTAAATCTGTGTGGTACTTTCCAGGGTGGCTCATACAGCATTTACTCATTGGATCAATCAGTAGTAGGAAGTATTTGTATTCACTGACTGCCACCTGAAGACCTGAAATCTTATCAATTACACAATTTTCAAGATTAAAATGAGATATAAAAAATTCAGACATTTCAGTTATGGGCTCAACAGAAATCTATACTGTCACAAGATATAAGATATTACAGATTACTATTTTAAGTGAGATTTTTTTTTTCATTTAACTTTTACAATATTAAGAACCAATATAGCAGACGAAGTTTGACACCTGTACATCTTCAAGTGGCAGAGCTCAAAAACAATCAAAATATTTCTTCTGCAAAAACCATCATTATATATAGACTACTTTTTCATCAAGAACAAATGGTGGAAATATTAGACCTTAAGAGAGCACAGTCACCTAATTTATGTTTATCATAGAAAAAATAGCCTTTGGAAATCCAATACACCTATGTTGGAATCTGCTGCCCTTGAGGTCAAACGGTCATTCAAATTATTTACTCTTACTGATTCATCTTCCTTATTTTTAAAATGGGGACATTACTTACCTTACAAGATACGGTAAGGATTATACAAGATTAGGGATATGAGATTTCCTAGCACATGCCACGTATAGTAGGCACTCAAATGTGAGTTCTGATTTTCTCATCCTGATACTGAATCAAATTAAAAATAAACACACAAACAAAACAACAACAAAAACCAACTTGGATCTGAGAATCATTTAACATATACAGTATGTTCTTTATTTCAGTGAGCGATTCAGTCATGTTACATCTGTCACATAATAGCATCGAGTCAGTCAGAAAAATGTAGGTTCTACATCCAGTAGAACTCCAGATGGCTCGCTTTTCTTTTTTTTTAATCTGTAAACTAAAGGGGTTGTTTTCCATCTTTAGAATCCTTGATTCTATTATCCTACGATTATAGAGACAAAACAAATACACATATTCAAACCTCCACTGTAGTGAGAATTTTAAAGCATAATACTCCTAAGTATATTGTTGCTAATACAAGTCTGTTTTGAGACTCGAAAAAATTTCGTAATTACCCCTTGGTAAAGGAATGCCACTAAAAATTACTTAGAAACACTTAAATGTTTCAGTGATTTCGATATTTCGGATCGCGCCGCGGGCATAAGTAAATATTTACAATATAATATAGCACGGCATCCTCGGTGGGCTTTTTTGAGTCTGCGCAAGCAGTTAAAAATGATCATCAATCGCGCAGTAACCGACTGAGTGCTGGGTAAGCCGGGTTATCGGCCAGCTGCGAGGACCGGGGGAACTGGAGAGTGGGAAGAGCCCCGGACTGGGGTTTGAAGGCTAGTTTCCTAGTGGAAGCAACGGCGGCGCGGCGTCAAGCCCTGGCGCGGCGGGAGAGCGGCCGATGGCTGAGGGCCGGGCGGGGCGCGGGGGGCACCGGGCGCGCCGGCCTGGTCCGCGGACCGGCCCCCGTGTAGGGGCCGGGTGTGGGCGGGTGCTCGGCGGCCACTCTGGCCGAGAAGCCGGGCGGGCTCCCGGCGCGAGTCCGCCCCGTCCCGCCTCTTCCCCTTACCACGTAGCCCCCCCACACGTAGAGGAAGTTTCCGTCCACCACTGCGCAGTGGCCGCTGCGCTCCTCGGCCACGCAGAACAGCTGGGAGTCCGCCATCCGCGCCGTCGCTGGGTCCAGCCGCTCTGCGCGATGCAGCCCCCTGCCCACGGAGAGGCCTTTCCTCCCGCCCGGCTCCTCCACGCACGAACGGAACGCGTCGAGGGTCGAGATTGGTGGGAAGGCGGCACCAGTGCGGCTGCGCCGTGCCGAAGCCCGCCCGGGAAGCCGAGCCTGGGGCGGCGTCGCCAGTTAGGGATGCTTGAGGTCTGAGTGGGCAGGGAGGTGCCTTGGCTTCTCCGCAACCCTGCCACCCGCTGATTTCGTGTCACTTGCGATTGTGTTGTGTGGGCGGAACAACCTGTGTACCTTATCCAGTGGCTCAGTGGATGGACTTCTGGTCCATGGGCTTGATGCTGCTGTGACTTAAATCAATATGTTAATACATTAATGCTTTGTGAGGGTTTGCCTTTTCCATTCAACCTCTAGCAGAGATAGTTATCCAGAGAGAGAGAGAGAGAGAGAGAGAGAGAGAGAGGACTTTAAATATATATGTATATATACATGTATATACATGTAGAGAAATAACTGAGGACATGGAAGGAGACGTGACCCATGAGTCCCCCCGGCAAGCTGGGTGCGTGCGAAAAAGCCAGAACTGCAAGCAGTCCTGAGTGCTTTGGGCACTGATCCATGAAATGTCTTCAGTATAATCAGAATAATGGGAACACAAGGAAATGTCCTTGTGCTGCTTTTGCGTTCAAGGACGAAGCACGGCATGTTCTTAAGAAAGCCCATTGTTTATTGTATAATCAGTAAAAGCATATCTGGCTGCTTTGGTATTTCTGGACTGTTAAGAAAACAAGTCTTAAGATGTAAACTTAGATAATGCTTAAATAAAAGTCACCACAGCAGGACGAGACGGCGCTGTTATTGGCTGAGAGAGCAGAGCAGCCCTCTACTGTTGTGTTTCTGCACAATTCATCTCGTGTGATGAGCTTACTTTCAGCCCTGACATAAGAAACTACAACATTTGGCGCCCGAACAGGGACCTGAAGGTAAGCATCGAGGTCACGCGGGACCGAAGGGGATTTTTGTACGCTAAAAGAGAAAAGCGAAACCTCCGGGAAGAGTAGAGTCATGGAGAATTCTCCCTCAGTGGAATGTCAATACACTAGACTCCTGAAACAGTTATTACGGAGTTCTGGAGTGAAAGTGAAACAAGAATCTTTTGATGAATTTTTTGCGGAGATTCGTAAACATTGTTACTGGTTTCAACCTACTGGTCATAACCAGTTGAATTTAAAAGTTTGGAAACGGGTTATGCGAGCATTAAGAAGAGCTCATCAGTATGGAGACCCTATATCTGTTCGTGTCTGGTCTCTCTGTAATCTAATTTCCCTTGCCCTGGAATCATTACAATCTGAGACTGAAAGTGAAAATGGGGCGCGCCCTCAGCGTTCGAATTCTGCTCCCGATCACTCTGCTGCTTTTCCTACTCTGTTCCGTGAGTCTCCTATAGAGGACCTTCCTCTGCCTCCTCCTCTTACGTCTGAGACAGGAGAGGATTTTTCGGGTTCCAGTGATGAAGGGGCTTTTTCTGATGATGATAAAGATCGGGAGCAAGCTAGCAAACAAAATGAGATGCCACTTTCTCAACAGAATGAGATTTCTGATATACTTTCAAAGTTGAAAGATTTGATGACTAAATTGGAAGAAAATAAAAACAATGCTACCACCCCTTCATATCAGGAGCCATGTCCTACTATTCCTTCGGCTCCTCCTTTAGAATTAGCAGCTTATCTTGTTGGAGCCTCTCGTCAGTTTCGATTTCCTCTAAAACCTGAATTTAATAAACTTTTATTGGAAGAAGAGATGAATAAGGAAGAAAAGCAATATTCTGAACCATTTTTTGCTTTCCCTATTGTTAGACAAGCTATGCCTGCTAACAATCAATTTCCGAATGGATATATGAACGTTGAGTATAACCCTCATGATTTAAAAATTTTTTAAATGCTAAAAGAAGCCATTAATGCATATGGGATGCATTCTAATTATGTTCAAGGTCTTTTGTCTGGGTATGCTTCCGAAAACATATTAATTCCTCAGGATTGGGAGGCGCTTGCCAAGACTGTTCTTGAACCTGGACAATATATGCAGTTTAAGACTTGGTGGAAAGAAGAAGCTGAAAACATGGCAAGGACTAATGCGGCCCGTAATCCTCCAGGGCCACTTTTAGATGAATTAATAGGAGCAGGCGCATTTAGTAATCTACAAGCTCAAGCTCAATTTGACGATTTACGAATCATTCAAATACGTATGTGTTGTTTGCGAGCATGGCTGCAAGTGGAACCCCCTGGAAAAACAGCACAATCTTTTACTAAGTTAATGCAAGGGCCTGGTGAGCCTTACACTGATTTCTTGTCTAGATTGCGTGCAGCCATTCAAAGAGATGTAGCACAAATAGATGTGCAAGATTTATTATTATGATCCTTGGCCTTTGAGAATGCAAATCCTGAACGCCAGAAGGCATTGCGGCCTTTACGAGCTGTAAACGCTCCACTTGATGAGTATATAAAAGCTTGCCATGATATTGGATCTCCTACTTATCATGCCAATTTACTTGCAGCTGCCATAACTGGAGGATTGAAAGATAATCTACTAAATGTTACAATTGTGGAAAGTATGGACATATGAGGCGAGATTGTCGAAAAGGGCAAGGCCAAATATCAAAACAGGTTAAGAATGAGCAGCCACCTGGTATGTGTCGCCGGTGTGGTAAAGGACGACACTGGACTAATGAATGCCATTCCAAAAAGGATAAGTTCAGAAATCTTTTGCCTCCACGAGATAATGTCTCGGGAAACGGGAAGCTAGGCCCAACCCGGGGCCGCAACAACAATACGGGAAAAGCGACAGTAAATTCTCAACAGTATCCAGTAAGCAATGGCAACTTTCATCAGACACTACAGGACAATCTCAATATCGGCTCTTAGTTACTGATCTCATGCATGCTACCAGCGGCAGTGCTACCGTTGACTTAATTGCTCCTCGAGAGTGTATCCTTACGCCAGCAGGAGTAGATCATAAATTAGCTACAGGAGTTTATGGGCCTATACCTGCAGCAACCGTGGGACTATTATTAGGACGAAGTAGTTTGACTCTGCAGGGTATAACAGTTCATACTGGAGTTATTGATGAGGATTATAATGGAGAAATTTCTATTATGATTTCTGTTACAAAACCTATAGAATTTAATAAGGGACAAAGAATTGCTCAATTGTTACTGTTACCATATATAAAACAAGCAGCCGCCCCGGTAAAGCGTGCTGGGGGGTTCGGCAGCACGGGAAAAAATGTTTTTTGGCAATCCTTTATCAACGATCAACGTCCCCAATTAACGATTACCTTTAATAATAATGTGAAATTTACGGGCCTTTTTGATACGGGAGCTGATGTGTCTATAATAAAACAGTCTGAATGGCCTTCATATTGGCCTTTAGAAAAGGTGGAAGCGTCATTGATTGGAGCCCTTTTGGCTCTGCCTGAGGAAAAAGGGGTCTGAAGAATTTACACTGGCATAGAGAGAATAACACTATTAATAGCAATACTATTAATGATACCATAGTATGGCATGCTGGAGGGTTTTCTCCTCCTGGTCCTCATTTAAATGGATTTCCTATCCAAAAGTATTTGTGGAAGCTTATGGCAGCTTTGGAAAAGATTAATGCTTGGGTAGGACGTATGGCTAACAAATCTGGACATTATAGTTTGACTTTTCATAAAAATGTTACTCGGTATACTCGTGGTTGTGTGAAATTACCTTATATATTGTTAAAAGGACCAGCTGAATGGAATAAGACTCTAGGTATTATAATATGTAAAAATTGCTCTCTGTATACCTGCATTAACTCTAGTATATCTTTTAACATATCTACAGAAAGTTTGTATATTTTACGAGCTCGGACAGGTCTTTGGCTTCCTATTAATCTTGGAAGGGAATGGCAAGAATCTCTCCCTATGGCTGTTTTGCAATATTTAGCTGATGCATTAAAAAGAAGTAAAAGATTCGTAGGAATGTTGATTGCAGCTGTCATAGGTATTATAGCCATAACAGCTACTGCTGCAGTAGCTGGAGTTGCTTTAGAACAATCTATTCAGACCGTTGATTATATAACTGATTGGCATAAAAATTCTGAAATCCTTTGGTCCTCTCAACGACAAATTGATTCGGAAATACAGTCGGAAATAGCAGACTTACAACAAGCTGTGGTTATGTTGGGGGACCAACTGGTGAATTTACAAAGACAAATGAAGCTACGTTGTGACTGGAATCAAAGTGCCTTTTGTGTCACTTCGGTTCCGTATAATCAGTCTGCATTCCCCTGGGAAAAAATAAAAAACCATCTATTACATCACAAAAATTTGACAGAAGAAATTGTGAACTTACAAGGGGAAATTCAACAAACTTTTCAGAAGAGATTACAACGACTTAATTCGCAAAAAGTATGGACTGGAATTATTCAAGGACTTAATAATTTAAATCCTATGTCTAAATTACATGCTTTATTTGGTTCTACCGCAGGATTGTTAATGATTATTATAATAATAATCATATGTTTAATTGTAGTCCGACGACGATTGCAAGCCACCCGCCATGTAACATCGCAACAAGCTGCCGTGTTCTCCTTGATGCTGCACAAGCTGCAAAACAAAAAGGGGGAAATGTAGAGAAATAACTGAGGACGTGGAAGGAGACGTGACCCATGAGTCCCCCCGGCAAGCTGGGTGCGTGCGAAAAAGCCAGAAGTGCAAGCAGTCCTGAGTGCTTTGGGCACTGATCCATGAAATATCCTCAGTATAATCAGGATAATGGGAACACAAGGAAATGTCCTTGTGCTGCTTTTGCGTTCAAGGACGAAGCACGGCATGTTCTTAAGAAAGCCCATTGTTTATTGTATAATCAGTAAAAGCATATCTGGCTGCTTTGGTATTTCTGGACTGTTAAGAAAACAAGTCTTAAGATGTAAACTTAGATAATGCTTAAATAAAAGTCACCACAGCAGGACGAGACGGCGCTGTTATTGGCTGAGAGAGCAGCAGCCCTCTACTGTTGCGTTTCTGCACAATTCATCTCGTGTGATGAGCTTGCTTTCAGCCCTGACATAAGAAACTACAACATATACATATATATATATATACAATTAAGAATTTTCTAA